CTTATCGCAAGTACCGGGCCAACATTTGGTCTACGGACCGGCGTCGTCTAAGAGAGCAGACGACAAGCAGAAACTTTTGAAAGAGCAGACGACAATTTGAACAATCAGGCGGTCGTTTGAACTTGAAGACGCACTGAACGTAGTCCACAGGTGGTCCGCACAACTTGACAGTTTTCTGGCGTTCATGTTGAAACAAAGCAAATAAATCTGATGACCGCAAGTATCCGTGAATTCAACCCAAAGTGCTTCCCGTCCAAGCAATCGTTGTCCGACGGCGTCTGCTTTTCCCTTTTCACGGCACATATCCAGATTCTCGGACGAACCGAGCACGTGAAAACTGACCTTCAAACCTTTCTCGACACTTTTGGTACGGCCGCAGTCGCGGCGTTTTGACGAGAAGGCAGGTTTTCGTCTGGTTCCTTTCAAAACAACGCAGGAATACACGTCTGGCATGGGGACTTCTGCCCACAGCCCCAGACCGGAAGTGCGACCGACGCGCCACCACCGCGCCGTGACGTCACAGAGATGAGTTCGTGTATACCTATTATAAAGTGCCCATGAACAAATTATAAAACAACTATGAAAAAAAAAAAGACATACAAAACGTCATCTCACTTTGACTTGCACGACGTAACCCACAAAATTTCAATAAAAATGCGCATCTGTAAGATCTTAGATTTTTGATAGGAAGGCACGGACCAGTTTTGGGGCCTTAGGCTTTCTATTATTCTCCACAAAAGCATGCAACAGAGAACCCAAAACAACACCTAGGAGGAAAAAGATTAGTTCTGTATACTGGGGCCTCTGACATGGGCGTACCAACCGGGAGGGCAAGGGGGCGCTAGCCCCCTCCCCCCCCCCCCCCCAAGCTGTCAGAGGGGGGGGGGGCAAGGTATGTGTTTTGCCCCCCCCCCCCCCCCTGAAACAGCCGCCACTGCCTTGGGAGGGGGGGGGGTCTCGTTTGCCCCCCCCCCCCCCCCCCCCACACTCAAAAACAAGTTGGTACGCCACTGGCTTCTGAGTAGGTATTAGACAAGGCAAAACCAAAATTTAAGAAAGCCTCTTTTATTTCTGATTGGAAGCTCAATTTAATTGGGCAAGTACCAGGATAAAAAAAAAAGAAAATGGGAGCCCGGAAGCCGATAACAAACTCAGAATAAAGCGAATAGTCAGTAAATTATATAAATATTACTTGTCTTGTTCAAAACAGATAATATCATCATTTCGAAAACACAGTAAAAATAGAATAAGTAATATACAAAAAGTAACAATTGAAGACGAATAAAGAGGTAAACTAAACAATAAACGAGAGGAAGGGACGGGGAAGAGAAGAAACATTTAGTTTTTTAGAAAATAAGAACATATTTTGCTATGTAATATAATTTAAAATAATACATATAAAAAATTTTAACATTGTCAAGCTCTGTATTGCTGAGCTCAACTTTGTTGAATCGGCATTGTTGTGTTCGGCGAGGGGGGCGAGGCGAACTGACTTATTGCAATCCATAACAATGAAAAAAGAAAACACAATCACGATAGCACCGCTTTAAACTCTCTTTATAAAACACCAATAAACGAGCGATTGATAACATTGCTTTAACCTATCTTGTTTAACACCAATATAAGTGTCTTCTAGACTTTACATAACCCTATTTGCTAAATTTTGAAACCTTTATCAGAAGTCAGATCACGAAAACAGTACTCGTATACATACACTACCTGAGATTGGCCAGGCTCACATATTCTGAATCTGAGTTCAAATATCAGTTTTTCTTGTTGTTGTTGTTGTTGTTTTTGCTGATAATATAGCAATACATCCATCCCCAGTTACGGAAAAAACTTAAACATAATAAAATATAATAAATAGAAAATAGAAGCAGTTAAATACACCTGGAATTCGTACGCATCTCGGTGGGTATTGAGGTGCTCGGCCCTCCTAATTTTAATAAGCTACAAAAATTACGCAAATACATAGTTCACATATTAATAATAAGCACGTTAAAATATGATATGCATATAATGATGAGTAATTTCTAGCTCCATATTATTTTTTCCTAAAGAGGACATTTTCAAGAAAAAACATGAATCCTCAAAAAGTAAGGGCGCAAACGAGCTGGTGTACATTGCACATGGTTTTAGAGACTTTTTAGTGTTTTGTCGTTTACCCGCAGTCTCGGGTTTTTTTCAACCATATGAATCCTCGTCGTCGTTCTCTTCCAAGATTACAGAAGGGCACGGACCAAGAAGGACAGAAAATCAATATATAAAGCAATAGACTTCAAAACAGCGACAATTTAAATAATTTATAATACATGGCCAACTGAGCTTTTCGGCCCGTTTCTGATCCCGTGGTTTTGACGCCCACAGTTTTTCATTATAATTGCCTTCCCATAGGGTCCAATGACCTTTCTGGTCATTGGACCCTATTTATTTATTTTTCATTGGTTTAGACCTGTTATGGCCATTTGGCGGTGCAGATTAAAAGACACATTTGTTTTTTATGCTTTCACTTAAAATCTCTAAGTTGGTAGTAGAAACGTTACAGGGCGAGCTAGCGCAGGTACCCATACCGGCTCCGCGGTTCTGTGTTCGCTACGCAATTAGGCTCACGACGTTTCTGACGACCTTCCTGTCGGTCATGCACGGTGTCGAAGGCTTTCAGTGGTTCACGCGACTGCCTTAGTGGGTGCAAAAGCTATAATTTCGGTCGATCAGGGGGGGTGGAGGGGGGGGGGGGTTTCGATGTTCAACGGGCAAAGGCGAACAAGGCAGCTCAGCGACGAGCTTTGGCGCCCCGAATAATAAACGAACACTTACCCGAACCAAAACACCGGAGCGAAGCGCGTTAAGATTGCTAGTCAATTATTTCCATGCATGGCGGATTCATGTGACTGATGTAAGCCTTACCTTTCTTTGTTGATTTGTCTACTGTAACGCCAGGACTACAGTGCCGATGCCTCACCAGCGACAGATGCCATCTTGTTTAGAAGGCCACTGACGTAACGTCGCCGTTGCATTGCGATTGGTTGCCGCTTCGCGGTTTGCAAATGCAGCTGGGGGAAATCGGTTCCAAAGCGGTTGGCGAAAACGCGCCCCAACCGCTCGATCCCAGCCGCTTTGTGGTTGAGAAAGCGCAAATTCGCTTCGCGGTTACGGACCTGCTTCGCGGTTACAGACCCGCTTCGCGGTTGCGGACCCGCTTCCAGTGTGGACGAGCCATTACACATCCAACACAATTTCACGCGCGTTTGACGATGAAAACGAGCTTCGATTCGCTCCGCTGTTGCGATTCGAAAGCTAGTGTGAATGCACCTTAAAACGCTGGTTCTTGTAAAGCAGAAGCGCCGCATGAAAATTACCCGAAATAATAAGAATAATAAAAAATAAAAAATAAACGCAGGAGAAAATGCGGAAGTTATCAGTTTTTAACCTGGATCCTTCGGGTTGGTAATACGATGCTGAACCCACTAAACCAACCGCTTTTTGTTTTCCTTTTATTTATTAAACCATACGAAGAGTGGCACAAAGCAACGAGCGAGATCTCGTGCATGGTGGGACAGTGTGCAGAAGGTGAACAGGTGGGGGTTCAGAGTGGGGAGGCAAGGCATGTGCTTTGCCCCCCCCCCCCCCCCCCCCCCCCCCCCCCTTAACAGCCGCCACCGGGCAGGGCAAACACTGGCCGGCGGCGCCCAAGGGAGACGGGCACTGCCTCCCGGCCTGGGGGTTTGGGGAGGGGTTGGTTTGCTTCCCCCACTCAAAACCAAGTTGATACGCAACTGCATGTCACTATAGTAGATCTGCACAGTGTTGCCTATAACTTGCGTGAGCATCGCCACCAGCACGTCTAACCTGCTTTTATCTGGACGAAAATAGTACTGTCTTCTGGTCCTGTATATACTTCTCCGGAATGCAAAAAGATGAAAAACTAATAAATTAAGTTTCCCTTACTGCAAAGAAAGCAGACGCCATTTGAACAGAGTCTGAACTTTCAGACTTCTTTGTTTTACTGTTGACAGTTTAAAACGTTTGTCGAGTCCTTCGTTTTACGATGCACAATTATACCCGTCTACATTTTTCAGTTTACAGTTGGGGCCCCGACTGCGATTAAACCAATAAAGAACGCAAAAAAAAAAGTCAGTTCTTGGTAGTCTACGTGTGCGGGCATGAACCGAGCGAATGCAAGAATATATTTTACTTTCTACTTGAAGTCAACTAAAATTTATGTATTCTTTATTGCTGCTTATTGCCAATGCCGAATTGCCTATAGAACGAAAGAAAGGTCGTTTCTTATAGATTATAGCCCCCAAAGTACGACCACAACAATCATGAAAAGTACAGCTGCTGCCGCCTTTATCGCCTTGTCTGCTCTTTCAGAAATGTCTTTATACGGAAACTAAAAACTCAAGAACCATCACGAATAAATGCCATAAAGAAAAACGGTTGCTCCGTTGCTCTTTTCACTTCGTTGAAACACGAGCAAACCATTCAATGAACAAAACAAACAACCAATCACAGCTCGGCTCAGGGCAGCTTTTCGACTCCTCTGTTTAGCAGGACTATACTTTGATCTTGGGAGTTTGGACAAGTGACGTCACAATCCATTGAGGAACGCTACCGATCGTAGTGCTCCTGCTAGTAATACGGTGGTGGACATGAACGCGTGGCAGGCGCCAGCTGTGCTGCGGCATAGCACTGCAGCGGCCGGACGAAGAAAATGCTACTGTCTGCTACGCCCGTTCGTCTGCTATGCAGGCGTTTCTGCGACCAGCCGCCAGGATCGCGGAAACCGGCAGCGTTTCCTAGAGGCTCTCTAAAGCGTTTCCTCCAAGCTGTGACGTATGTTGTTGACGTCTTCTTGAATACTCTTATGAAGTAGCGATAAAGGATGCTAAACACACCAGCCATTGACGCGTTCCAGGCACTATACGGTAAAGGCAGTTCTCCTGCTACGCATTAGTAAAGAACTGCTGGACCGGTGATAGTCTCTTCCTATTTTCACGATGAACGGTGCCTCAGTTTGGGCTGTTTCTATCCTGGCCATCTGCGGGGCACAGTTTATAATCCAGCAGGAAACTTGTACTGGTGAGCCATGTTTTCTTTTTATTCGCTCTTCTTTGGTTTACTGTTCGGAGACATTTCTGTGCGAGTTATTTAAATAAATTGCAAAATTGAGTTACGTCGTTAGTTCGCCAAAAAGTAACGCACTCTTGAAATTCGTTACCGTCTTCTACACGTAACGAAATAACGTAAAAATTACAATAAGTAGCCCACGTTACTTTTGTATTACGTTAGATTACAATGTTCGACAGCGGTAAGTCGATGTTATGAACTTCGAGATCGATTACAGAAATAAGGGCTTTGGCGCAGGCTAGCCGCTGAAAGTTCAACGTTGTGTTTGTCCCTTCCTTTTACCGTCTCGATTTTTTTTTTTTTTTTTAGTATGAGATTATTTATATTTTGACTACGTGATTTCCTACTGTTTATTTAGTTGTATCAAAATCGTCGAATGTGTGTATATATATATATATATATTGTTTTTTTTTTATGGAGATCCCTCTATATTAATAATCGACGCCGGATCGGTATGCCTTCCGCCCGTCACCCAGGGAGTTATACACTGCAACGAGAAGACAGCGAATGGGTTTACTGTACCTCTCGGTTGCCCGTCGTCGAGAGCCGGTAGTCCGGGCCCGACGACCCTTGTTGTCGCCCGTCGATCAGAGCTCACAGTCGGGGTCCGTGTCCAGGCCTGCGGATCGCCTTTCCCACGCCAGCGCTGCGTAGGCTGTCCCGGGCTACCAATGCCCGAGTCTCGCTGCGGAACCACCCCGGGATCGTCGTAGCACAGGTCATATGGCCCGGGCTCGCCGTTTCCACCGGTCTTGCTCCAGACTTCGCTGGTGGACCGCTCCGGGGTTCGTTATGGGCCAGGCTAGGGAGCCTGGCTTCAACTAGTGCCACTAAATAAGCTACGCTTCAGAGTAACGGCACTTGGCCATATTGTGGCTTAAAATCATGGCTGCCAGTTATCTGAAGCTTTATCTGAAATCACAGGAAACGCTCTTGCGGCCTCCACAAATGTTTAAACAGTTCGCGACAGAGCAAAGCAAGATTACATGAGCTTCCTAACACCGAATCTAATGCGGAAGAAGTCTCTTTTTTGAATCATGACGATCGGCAGGGTCGTCTGTTCTGCACAAGCCCCAAAATGGCGGCGCCCACAACAATGTCGAGGAACGGAGTGCCGATACTCTAAGCGCAGCTCATTTAGTGGCTCTAGCTTCAACGTTCCTTGTCCAGCTACCAGCCTCACTCAGCACGCACTTCTCGGCCGGCCAACTGTCACGTGCAATCTGCCTCGTAGTTCACCCTCGGCTCCCACAATATATATATATATATAAAACTGAGAAGAAAAGTTTTATACCCACGCCTTCGGCCTCCCGCCACCATGCCCGTTATATATATATATATATATATATATATATATATATATATATATATATATAGATATAGATATATATATATATATATATATATATATATCAAGCTATTATTACTCAAGTGTAAGAAGGAGTGTAATTTGATAAAGCGCTCTGAAGAACAGAACTCGCTTAATTCGCGCTGATTTGGAAAACGTGCTTCTCCGAAGCAAGAGTTCTCGTATACTTTTACCAACTGAAAAAACAGTAAATGGCTAAACATTTTTTATCAACTCGACGTATTTGAAAGGTAAATCATTCCTTCTTGGCCATCTCAAAGTGTGGAATCAATTGGTTTTGATTATTGCCATTGCTGCTACCAGAATGTAATATGAAATTCGTGCGTAACCATTGGCAATAGACAATGGATGGACGAATGGATGAGGTTGAACCCTTTGAACCGGGCGGCGACCTCACCACATCTTTTTTTTTTTTTTTGCGGGGGGAGGGGGTTATTTAGCTTTTATTTAACATAGACATTATATATATATATATATATATATATATATATATATATATATATATATATATATATATATATATATATATATATATATATATATAAATTTATTCATAAGAGCTACGATCCGTACGACAAAAGCGCCTCTATGCAACCAAGTGCACAGACCTTCCGCCGTACGGGTCGCCCAAAGAGGAGAAGAAGATATTCATTCTTCCCTCGACCTATGCAACCAGTCAGATCTTCTTGGTTATCTCCACCTTCCCCATGTCTATTTTCCCTCCCTAAATCCCTGTGCAAATTAGTCGCCTCTTCAGGTGCAACAGGGCTAAGCCCCTGACAGTAAAAAGTGCTCAGCCGTACCAAGAGTTCCCGCTAGAATTCTCAAAGATAGGTTCCTTAGCAATGCCCTCCTTAAACGATCTGTAAATTGCCAAGGCCGATTTAGTCTGCATGCCTGCTTCCCATATTTCCCTCTCAGTTCCTTTAACTCTCTTCTTAACCTTTATTTTCTCATCCGCGTCCCTGCTCTTGCCCATATATCTAGATCTAAGTTTTCTGGTCCGCTTTCTCGATTTTGTACCGACGATTCCCACGTGTAATTAGCTAAGAACTTTTCGTGTCCTTTATCCTGCATCTATTTACCTACTACGTCCGTGTCACTTCTTTGTCTGGTCTTCGTCTTTCCGCGCTGTTTTTAATTCCGATGCATCTATTTCTCTCGGTCTGATCTCAAATTCCATCTTACTGCTAGCTTCCCTGCCCTCGAATGAGAACCGTCCCATGTCAAATCAAATCAAATCAAGATAATTTTCTAGAAATTCTGTAAACCTTAGTTCCCTGTTTTACCGTGTGCTCCCAGATCCCATCTCCCTTCTCCGCGTTACTTTATTTCAAGCCTTGTCTGGACGTCCAGCTTTTATGCGCAAAACTGCATTTGCAAAAGTCAGGCACGAACCATAACTCCTTTTCAGATCTCCCTCACCACTTCATACCTGTCGTAGTTCCACAGGCCTCAGCTGCATCCGTATCGCCCTTACCAGTCACACATTTTGCATGTCCATTGAGGTATTCCGTACCCTATAGTTAATCCATGCTCCCAGATACTTGTATTTATTGACTCGCTCGACCTCTAATCCTTGTGTCTTTAGCTCTGCAGATCCGTCGTCATTGAACACCACGACCGCTGATTTGTCGCTATTGAATTCTAAGCCTAACCTGTGGCTCTCTGCGCCACATATATTCATAAGGGACTGCAGCTCTATTTTGCTGTCGGCCACTAGCACTATCACGTCATCTAGTTGCTGCTGCATAGACTACCCGAGTCTGCCATTGTTTGGGCCTATACTCTCAGCATGTACTGAGATCCAATCACACGATTCGTTCCTTATAAAAAATGGCGACCGCCAATGTTGCTCGGTGTACTTCTGAAGATTATGTCATTATTTCTTGCATTTTTTTTCCAAGTAGAATATAGTATTTTGATTTGAAGCATTTTGTATTGTTGTTTCTTTTTCAGATATTTGTCGGGTTGGAATAACCCCGAACGATTCCACCATGGACTGTCGTAAGGACTCGTTACAATTTTTTTGCGATGTTTGCTCATCTAGTCGATTCAAACCGTGCAGTGGCCGCCTCAAAAGCGTTTTCAGCGTGTCGATTAGCATTTTTCGACGAAATCTCTCTTTCTCTCTCTCAAGTTATGGCATTTCGTGTGTGAAATAAAAATTTATACTGTATCTTGGTGGCGTTGCAAGCGCGAGATGCTTGGGCTCTGGCGTCCCGGCCGAAGAAACGCCATTCCCAAAATCTCTTCCGTATAGCGTGCGCTAATGCAAGCGCTCAATATGGCGTAAGTTATTCTAATACCCCATTCACACGGTCAACATAAAGGTACCAGGTCTCTTTGCTATCGGCGAATCAGCCCGTGCCCTTGGGTCGCGAGCACACGCCACGAGCGGAAGATCGTTGATTGATTGGCCGCAGAGAATAAAGGTCCCTCAGCTAAAGGTAGCTTTACAGTGGTGTGAATGGGGTATAAGGCTCTCTAGTAAAGATGCTTTTGGCGCTTGAAACGTGTACCCCTTTTAGGACTTCCCTCGCTTCTGCCTTCCTCGAAGTAACACACAACACACTCGTTGAACAACACGTAGTCAGTTATTGCCTGTTCACGCCGCGTGCTCCGGCCCAAAAGGGCACCCGCGCAAAACAACAGCAATGTGCTGCTTGTATGTTTAAACATTAGTACGCCTCAACGGGTGTCTTGTCTCTTAAAGGTCGCGGAAGGAATCACGAGATACGATATAGCATACGGGGCAACCTGGATGTACGCTGCGGACCAGCCGGTTGCCCACGGTCTTGTTGATAAAATAATATAAAGTTAATCTAAGAAGCGCAAATATCTTAACTTTCCGCAGGAAGGGGCAAATGCGTACGAGTATGAAGGACAAGGCCTGTGCATGACGTAATGGTTAGTGGACCACCAATCCGGCCCAAGCAGCAAGCATGCTACGAGAGCCGCCTTAGAAGCGGCACATATGCGATATATTGACGGTTTTTATGCGATATATTGACATGGTTTTATTCCCATAAAATAAACAACTTCTCAGTTTTTTTTTGTTTTTTTTACACGTTTTACTACAGCGGGTAGATAAAGGCCTTTTTGTTTCGCCACTATGTCCTAAAATCAGGGCTAGGCGCCGTGGCGTCACTGCACCTCTCAGACAAGCTTCCTCGCAAAGTAAAGAATCTCAAGTTAGCCGATAACCGTACGAAGCAGGCGCAATGGCGCCGGCGCGCGGAGTATCGACTGTCATTATCTTAGTTATCGGATATCAGGGCCGGCTTGCTAGAACAGCGTCTCAGCTGCGACTGGGGGAAAGAAAGCACTCCCTAAGCCTTCTATATACTGACAGAGCCTGGCAGGTCTTCACGTAACGCGGCCGCCAAAAGTGAAAAGGATAGAGCGGCAGGCAAGAGGCGTGTAACGGGCGCCCCGCTGCGGCGAGACGCCGAAACACACATCGCCCGAGCGATGGAATGTCCGCTCCTGCTTTTCGCGTTCCTCGGGCTACCGCTTCGTCTCTCGTCGGGTTTGAAAAGCATGTTTTGGGTCCTCGCCGCTGCAAAAGCTGTGCGCTGACTATAGGCTCCCCGAGAAATGCTCTGTGCTACCAGATCCTCGCGCTCCAAATCTGCGACCGGGCGCTCTGTGGCTCTGTCGTCAAACTGCCAGGCTTTGTGAGTGTAGAGGAAGCTATGACACTGGCAACGCGCGAGCATCTTGACAAGCGGTTTGAGCCCCGCTCAGCTCGTACGCTGGCTCTGGCAGTGCTTTCTTTTACAAAGTTTAGGTTGATCGTGAATACCACTAGCAGATGTTGAGCGCTCCAAAGCGCTTCTTTTGGAAAAAGCATCTTCCGCTGGTAGATCCGGCTCCAATTGGTCATCTTCCACTCGTAGATTTGCCAGCGCCTGCCCCGTGGAGCGCCTTCGAACCCCGCCGAACTTGATCCACGGGATATCAGAGATCTTGGCGGAAGTTGACAGAAACGTGCGATGTCATTTCCTTAACTCAGCGGTCCGCATGTGCGACGAGGACGCCGGACCGGCCGGGTCGTGGAATTGGATCTGTTCGGATTCGTCGGTTGCTTATGCGAGATTGTGACGGCTAGAATTCGCTTCTACCTCGCGTAGATCGGGGAAGCAAAGCCGGGACTGGAGCGTGGCAGTCGTGAGCACTAACATCTGCCACTGATTGTTTACCTCTTTACACTGCATGTTACCGTCGTTTTCTCGTGCAATGAAGCAAGAACAAATTAGGCAACCACCATGCAAGTGATGGTTTGCTACCTCTTTGTGTTTATAAAGTCTTACCAGCAATATGAACTCCACCGATGTCGACTGCTGTGCGTGCTCCGCCGCTTCGGGGCGGCCGAAAGGGGTCCATATCGTTTCGTCGAAACTCGTTTCGTAGAATTACGTTTCGTGGATAACTTTTCATGGACACACGTTTCGTCGACACGAACGTTTCATCGACACTCATTACGCGAATGGGACATGTCGTCACGCTTTTATCACTGGAGTGTGCGTTAGTCACCCCCCTGCCCCTCGCCTGCGTTTACGCCGCTTCACGACGACTGTTTGCGGCGGCTCATTACACAACTTTTAAGCCACCTGGCCGGCCCGTACACGCCGCTTCGCGCCGACAGCCTCATGCAGCTTACTACAGAAAAAAAAAAGAGCTAACCTCAGCTGTCGATGAAACGATTTGTCGATGAAACAATCTGTCGATGAAACGTTGCGTGTCTGTGAAACGTCGTTCGATGAACTCATTGTCACCACCGGGCCAAAAGGCAGACGTGACGGTGGCGAACGCGGGCGTCTCCCTCGTTATACGTGACATGGGCTCCCTGGTACGGAGATTTTCACCCGGTCCGTGTCGCGCGTTATTCCTGCACCTAAACAGTGACAGTTGTGACCGCGGTTGTGAGAAAGCTCAGTCGGCCAAGGCGTTGGTCGGCTTGTCAAGTTCGAGCAGCGGCTATTTTGAACGCTCGACCGTCGCGGGCGGGTCCGTCCGGCGAGTCGCTCCAAAAATGCGAGTCCTTCTTCCGCTCGTCCCACGGAGCGAAATTTTGCCTCCCTCGCGGATTTCGGAAAGCGCTCCGGAACTGCTAGTGGAATTCACCGTGAGATACCGTTTCTATAGCTAAAAACCGGCCCAGAACGATCTACTAAAACTCTGTCCTTGTCCCTGTGTGCGCAACTGTCACTATGTTCAACTACTAAAACTCCTAATGTCACACTAGCGTAGATGCACAAATAGTATACAGCCGCCGTTACGCTCCTGATACATCGTATACAAAAGCCAGTCTGCAGACACTAGGGAGTTTTAGGGAACCGTTCTTGCACATCCGGTATACGGTACGGGCACTCCGGTCTACGAACTGCGCATGCGCGGGTCTTCTGTGGCAGCGCATGCGCAGTTCGTATCGGAGGGCCCATTGTACCGTATCGGATGTGCAAGAACGGTTCCCGAAACCTCCCTATACTGCCTGAGGGGTGTCTCTTCTTTGCACACCTTTACATTCGTCATACAAACACTGTACACACTGTATCGTGTCTGCGGCGAACACCGCGTGTCTTTTGTATGGTGTATTAGCAGAAGGGTTACGTTTGAATGATCGTTTGCAACAACTGAACGAAGAACTCGCATCTTCGGGGTAGCCGCCTCGCAACCGAAACTAAGGCAATACAAAAAAGTATAGAGTTATTTACATGTTTCGCAGGGAATCAACTCTGGGAGCACAGGAAGCTTATCAATCTTACAATCACTCCATGTGACAGCGACCCCTGCATTTACCAGAAGAATGCCACGTACGTGATCTCATTCTACGCGGTTGCTAGTAAGTATTTATCCACGCTCAGTTTTGCCTCACGTGCAATGTATACCCAGACCATGAGTTATTAGATCAACTTGGTTGTGGGACTTCGTCTTCCCTCGTACCCGTCACCCGTAAGGCTTTAACCGCCCGTATGTTTGAAGCGCCATCTAAAGGACGCTTTGCAAAGCTGTATTCTTCGGAGAGGGTATACGGTTAAACACGGGTCCATATCACATGAGCGAATGACATTTTAGCGAACAGCGACATTTGAGCGAATGGACGTTTTAGCGAATAACGGGGGCGCGCGTTAACCCATCCGCCGCGCTGCGCTTTACGCCGCTTCGCGGCGACAGTCTGCGGCGGCTCATTCCAAAAATGTGAACCCATTTGGCCCCCCCCGAAAACGCCGCTTTGCGGCGTCCGACTATTCGCTAAAGTGTCATTCGGTGAAACGTGGGCGTTCGGTAAAACGTCATTCGATCAAGTGAGTGCCTCCCGGTTAAACACCATCTAGACTGTTTGCTTCAAAGCCATACCAGCCGTCCCCCAAGAAAACGATGACGCGTCTAACGACGAGAGGTAGGGAGAAGGGGCGAGGGCCCTCCAAACCAAAAACGGAAAGCGGGAAGCCTGCACTTTTAGCGGAGATTTTTCACGAAGCGTTGCGCTTCCTCTCGTTTTGTAGCGTGATCTACACTGGTCCAGGTTTAGCAGTTTCGCGTGGCTCCTGGAGAGCCGTGCTGCGCATGCGCGAGGAGCAGTGACCTCACACGGCGCACAGCTGGCGCGCCTCGCCGGTCTGCGCATTCTAGAGGAGTGACGTCATAGCCGCGGCGGACGCAGTGGCGCCGCCGCGTGCCCAGCTGTGCGCCTCCGATGCGCAGTAGCCAAGTCTGACGCTGCACCAGAGCCGCTTGATAGCGCCTTTCATTTTGTGCGCATGCGCGGAGGTATCAGTGGGGGTATACATATAACGGGGCGTTTGCCAGTGTGGTATAGCCATGGAGAAGGAGAGCGAAATTGCTGCTCAGCGGCGCAGAAGAGCAGAGAAGCTTAACTCATCGGATACCGAAGTAGTTGCCTGGAAATTAGCGGTTGGGAGTAGGAAGAACGAATAGAAGAAGGCTAAACGGGCTGCGGAGACACCGGAGCAAAGGGAGGAACGTCTAGCAAAGCGGCGTCGCCAGGAGGCTGAGCGACGTGCCCGACCATCTCAGCAGCAGCAACAACAAGACGCCGTCGATGACGTCAAGGCTCGCCGATTGACTGACTATACGGTGAAACTTAGAGAAGGCGCCAGTGCGACTCGAACCTTCGAGACGGACTTCGTAAACAATCCGTTTGGATATGTGTGCGACGTGTGTGAAAGACTGTGGCACATGAATGACTTGCCGCCGGTAAGTAGTGCCATGTGTTAAACGTAGAGTTTAGCGGCGCCGCCCGAGTGGGGTGAAACCGTGGCGCGGGTTGATACAATGCGCAAGAAATTTTTCGTTAAGCAGAAGATTCCAGTCTTTAGCGTTACCAATAGGTATCGTTACCCGCACATGCCACCAAATCTACCGATTCTAAACGATGTGGCCGAACGTTTACTTTCGCCCCGGATTCGCTTCGTTCAGATCCGTCGTCTAATGAACTGAAAAATGGTCAGTTTGGCATTAAGGGACCCGTGATGAACGTGCCGGTAGACACGGACGAGATGCTAAAGCAGTTGCCTCGCAGCTTGGAAGATGATAAGTGCCTAGTGGTCAACATAAAGAGGAGAATGTTTGCCAAGACTACCTATCTATCGAACATGGTTTCTCGCGATGTGCTTGGACCATGGGTTGAGGTACTGAGAGACTCGCTGCTGTTTAAACACTACGGCATAAACATTGACGACGGACGTTTAGAGAGGCTGTATCGGGAAGCCGTCGCGCCAGACGAAGGCGTTAACGTGGAGGCTTGTCACGCCACGTATATCCTGGCATAGCTGAGCTAAACCACTGTAATTTTTTTTTTTTTTTGATGGGGGGCATTTGTGTTGGGGCCAGGGAAGGGAGAGGAACAGGCTAAGCAGGCCCGAAGCAGCGAACCGCAGCTTGGACCCGAAGCAAGGAAGAAAGAGGCCAAGAAAGGTGAGGTACGCGAAGGAGCAGGTGGACAGACACATTCTCATTGGTCGGCCATGAGTGACATCTGTCTGACGACTAGGGTGACCACCTTTCTACAAGCGAAATGCGGGACCACCTTTCTACAAGCGAAATGCGGGACCACCTTTCTACAAGCGAAATGCGGGACACGAGGGGCGGGAGGGGGGGGAGGGGGGTAGAGAAAATGTATTAACACGCACACAACGAACCGAGGCTGTGTTAGCACACTCATTATCTTGTACTGTTTATACACCTGATAATTTCATTGCACCAATTAAGCTCGAATAATTTCCACTCCCAGTGATATATTTTTTTTATGCCAAACACTTTATTAATGTGTCAAAGTTGAAAACAAAAGATTCAACTGTAGCAGAACTCTATGCATCAGATGGAAATAAGAAACAGTAAATCTTTTTCGGGTTATTGTTTCCTGTCAACGCTTATTTCATCAACATGGTCATACACAAATTTTTAACATTATGTTTTTTTTCGACCTTTGCTATCGTAAGTGTCTTCACAAAAAAAAAAACTCACAGCAACCCTTTCCCATTGACACAGCAATTTGAAAATAAGTATAATATGTTATATAAGCCCTTTTGGCGAGCAATTTTTTTTTTTTTTTCACATTTTGCCACCAAAGGGAGAGGCACAACGGCGCATGCGCATCAATTCTTCTGCAAGAACGACGGTCACTTCCCACAACGCTTGGATAAAAAATGGCGTACCATTTCGATTCATACGATTACCAGCAACATCCGCGCTTCCCCGTGCCCCGTTGTTCGGCAACACCATGAGTTGCGGAGGTAGTTTTAGGACAATGTGAAATGCGGGACATTTTTTGAAAATTTTGAAATTTCTCACGGGACGCGGGACACGAGCTCTCAATGCGGAACAGTCCCGCGGGTCGCGGGTCGCGAGGTCACCCTACTGACGACTGGTTCAATATTTCTCCCCGATGAATCCCTCTTGCTCCGACAAAACCCATATCCAAACCAAACAGCGAAACGAAGTGTTCCCGCTTCCCGCTAAAAGTGTCACGCTTCCCGCTTTCCGCTTTTGGTTTGAAGACCTTTTGACTGAGAGTTGATCTAATAACGTTCACCTAGACATTGTCCAATTTTCGGCGCTTTCGTGACTACCTCGTGACCACTGGCAGTTTAAGAAAACGCGGGCGGTGGCGAGCTGCGAGTGTCTTATTGTCGTTTCACCTGCAATCAGAGCAGGGTATTCGCCGAGAAGAACGCCCAAGAACGAATCTTTATGCAAGAAGCTCACTTTCCTGCAAAACACGGACGAGAGAGCCAATCACGGCGAACGGTAGGATCCCACCGAAGAACAAAACTCAGAATACCATCCGAATCGCACAGGCATCAGGATACTTTAGATCATTCATACCTTGTATATTACTGACTGCAATCGTCTACCCCCCGTCCATTGCCACAAATCCAAATCCTCTTAAAAAAAAAAAAAAATCTGCAACCGGACTACTAGGTCATACCGGTTTCTTGATTTTCTTGTTTTATTTTTTTTTTTATACATTAAAAAACCAGCCCCCTCTGTAACGCATTTTTTGCCCTTAATGATTACACAGACATTTGTCCTTAATCTCTGTGTAATTTTGTCAGTGTAGGACAAAACACTCAATAGCAGTATTTAAGTTAAGTTACTAATTACGTGCTTCATAAAGTATTTAAAATACTGCTCAAGTCACTTTCACGGTAAAGTATCTTGAATAGAATACGAATACCTAGAAATGTAATTCAATTACCTTTGGAGCTACTTCCACATTGCGTAATTTGTATCGATGTCAGTGACCAACAGAATTATACAGTTGTGCAAATCTGGTTTACCAGAATGGTTTATTAGCACGCAACAGCACAAAACGAAGAAAACACATAAAAATATGTTAGGGCTATTCTATGCAGTCCAACCATAAAGAGCAGGATATCACTGATGCAACTTATAAAACATTTCCGGGACAGACCTGCGGCGCAACTTGGGCATATCGTTTAAATAGAATCCATATTTCCCGTATGGTGAGTTGAATACAAACGAACTTGAATACAAAAATGAGTGAATAGATGACAATGAGAGCCCATATGATAGCCCCGGCACTTCTCGCCCCTTCTTAAAGTAGTTGCGTTCAGAAAGGCACTCAACGTTATAGGACGGTTTGTTGGCACTTTGAGAGGCCATCCTGCTCGTAGTTCGTTTCCTGCCCTGTTCTATGCTTAACAATACTCCCCTACAGACAGTTATCGCGAGAAAAAAAGGGTGCCGGACTGACGACACAAAAAAAAGAAACAATACAAAAAAAAAATCGAAATTTTTGCAGTAGCGCTGTCAAATAAATATACAAGCAAAAAAAAAAAAAAAAGACTTGTTTTTCTGTTTACTTTTTTTTATTTTTTTTTATTTTTTTTACTCTCAAGTCTGCATTGTTGTCGTGGATCTTTTCCTGTTCTGCGTACCACCTCAGTGTGGCAATCTTTATTTCCGTAAAACCACCCCTTTTGTTTTAGGATTTTTCGGGGGAAACTCTGGGGGGAAAAAAGGCGCCTATGAAAAGGCGAGGAAAAAACCTTCATTGTACGAAATTTGGGCTGAAATATGAGTCCCGATCGGCACAAAAGCGATGTTTTCACAAGCTCACTCAAAGTCACCGTAGCTTATCGGAGCTAGCGACAGGATTTGGTTACTCGAAAGAATGTTTCTGTTTTCTCGTGCCACGCCCACGCCGCCTCATACCAAAAAGCTCGGAAAATGGCGAAATGCCAAAAATGGTATCTGAGATAAAGAGTACAAGATACTCAACAATGTAATTAAAATGAAGTATCGAATCCTCACGATCAAAAGTATTTGCATGATACCGAGATACTTCAAAAAGTATTTGAAAATACAGTATCTTGATTAGAGTATTTAAAAGCACAAGTCTGAATTATGTACATGTTGCTGCGAACACGAACTGACAGTGCACCACACAAAAGGCGTTAGGGTGTTTGTGGGCAGTAAAGAAAAATAAAACATCATCATCATCATCGTCATCATCGAACACAAATAAATGAAATTAAGTTCACGCCTCCTGGTTCGTGATTCGGCATTTGGCGTTGGGCTAATGCCGTAATTCCATTGTTGAGATGCTTGGTACTTTGTCATACGGGAGCATGGACTTTATCGTGAATACCAAATAACATACCACGACTATTGTCCAAAAAAAAAAAAACATTCCGATTTTTTTTTTTTAATGATGTTGAGTGCAAAGTCAATAGTCCCTTTTCAAAAGTGCACGCCATCCGATAACCAGTACGCCAATTATCCGATTGGCTGCTTCAGCGTGTGGTAGGGTTGCCTTGCTGCATGCCCATCCGGGAGGAAGAACACGAAGCCGGGGTTTCACAAAACGAGAAACTACATTTATTAAAGTGACATCAAAGGGTTGCTAGTAATAAAGTATAATAATGCCGGGCATTCGACCTACGCGTCTCCGTGTCGCTGGTCCGTCCCTCCCCTTTCTGTGGGCGTGTGCCCTCTTTGCGCTATTGCGCGCCTCGGCTGTTGTCCAGCTTGGGTGGTCAGTAGCGGCCTCTGGTGGTGGTGGCCGGCCCTCGCTCCCACAAGCGTTAGGGGAGAACTCAGATTCAATCACGTATGCTGCACGCCCAAGGAGTGGCGATCGCTATGCTGCCTGGTGAACCTTAAAAAAAGGCTCTTATGTTGCGATCAACGCATCGACACGTCTGGCTGTCAACACATGCCTGTTCGAATAATTGTCGTAATATTTTTTTTTTTGTATCCCTCTGTTTGCCATAGATTATTCGCAGAAGTTCTGGCCTTGGTGGTCAAAAGGCAGTAAGTATGAACCTCCACCCTTTCGCTGACTAATATAACGTTGCGCTACAAATAAATTACATCCGTCTATGGGGCGGCTTCTGTAAATCTTACGATGCACTCTAACAATTGTCTGCGCGTCTTCTTGCCCGCTAAACACTCAAAGAGTCAATCATTGCGATATAGAGAATCAGCTCAGCGAATGGTGAGGCGGAACATCCGTTTAAATATAAAAATGAAGTCAGCGCTGTGGCATTACGCAATGCAAAGCGTCATGCTTGCGTTGCGTAATGTCACAGCGAAGTCTTCATTTTGATGTCTAAACAGATGTACCGCCTCATCACTCGCTGAGCTGATTTCGTACATTTGAGAGATTGGCTCTTTGAGTGTTTTGCGGATGAGTAGACGCGCAGGAATTTTTTAGAATGTGTAAAACGATAAAGAAAAATCAGCACCTGCACATAGAAAGCTCGAAACTTCACCACACGTCCATTAAGATGGTTAGTTTTTCCTTGTAAAGTTTCAAAACGTAACCCTTTTCGTATTAAAAAAAAACAAAAAACAAGAAAACATAGGCCAAGAACTTTGCAAAATCCAACGTTTTACGTGCTCGCAGATGATCAAGTTGGTAGTAGTAAATACTTCTATTGAAAAGAAAAGGTGATTATGTCGTTGCCTCTCGGTTGATACCATCTGCTGCAGGAAGGGATGAAGTAGGAATGTGGGGGGGGGGGGGGGGGGGAATGGGAATCAAATTGGGGGGGGGGGGGGGGGGTAGGGGATAAAGGCCTGAAGAGCGAATAAAACTGAGCAGCGATGAGAGCATTTGTTCTCTGTAAGCGTTCTTGATGCTTGGGAGGGTTCACTCTGTGTAGCTCGAGGGCCTTGCTTCTGGCGGTAATTCTGCGATGGATTCTAGTCTTCGCATCTTTCTGTCCTTACAGTTCCAGACCAAATTCGTACACGTGGCTTGTTGGCCACACACTTTGCAAGATGGGTTAGGACCGACGTGTTCGGGCGACTTTGGTTTGTGAAATATTCCTTGCCACACCGGAGTGATGGCCGTTGTAGTTTCAAGCCTTCGTACACACACCCTCTCCTCCCTCGAGAAACTAGATAGAATAGGGAAATCGTCCGGAGATAAGAGCGAGGCTAGCCTTAGTTTTATGGCTCTTCCCTCCTGCTCTTGAACTTCACCGAGGTCTGGTGCCAAGTGTTGACCTCTTTCGAAGGAACTGAGGTAGCCTTGTGAAGGTAAAAATATATGTAGTTTTACGCTCGCGGCATCGTCAGCTCTCTCATTCCCGGGTATTCCACAGTAACCCAAAATTTTCGCCGTTTTTTTTTTTTTTTTTTTTTGGGGGGGGGGAGGTATTTGTTTTCAAGGGAGCATTACCACATCAGATACACCAATCTCTTGTTGAAAAAGACACAAAAAGGAATTTCAGAACGAATTAAACGATTAGCAAAAAGCACCTGACGGATGTCGCTAACGCCACGTTTGTAATGCCCGTCTAGGAACCTTGACAGGTAGTGACGGAGGTTGTCTCGCCTCCGACCACGGGGAAAGAGGAGCTGAAGGATGAATTCCCCTCTCCGCGAGACTTTCTTTTTTGTGTGTCCCAGAAGTCGCTATTGTCTCTCTACAAGATTATAAAAGATTAACCTGTCACGCAAAATTCGTACGAAGATAGCTTTGGATTTACTTGCAGTGGCCCGATCGCAGGTGTGCTTCGGCTGCTTTAAGCGGATGCTACCAGCCATCGGGGCCTATCCAAGACCTTGCGACTGTCACGTGACCTTAGAGAGGGCGCACAGCGACGCCCGGAAAGCGTATCACGGACTACTTCCACAGAGCGGGATTGGCTGGGATAGCTTGCAGGCGTCCGCTGCGTTTGGACGTCAGGTCCCGAAACAATCTGCGTCACGATTGCGGCGGCTCTGACGTGTTTTCCGTACGCTGGCTGATCTCCGAGCGTTTGCCAGAGTGGGCCGTTTAGAACGAAAAATACAGCCATCAGGGTCAAAAACAAACGTCCGCATTCGCCACCGTCACGTATGCCTTTCGGCCCGGTGACAGTCAGTTCATCGAACAACGTTTAATCGACACGCGACGTTTCATCGACAGATTGTTTCATCGACAAATTGTTTCATCGACAACTCAAAATTTCTTATTTTCTCTTTTCTTTTTCTTTTTTAATAAGCTGCATGGTATTTTCGGCACGAAGCAGCGTGTGTCATTTACGCATATTGTGGATCATATTCAGCCTATTTCTGAACACGACGGGTATATTTCAACTTTTGTTGAAGTATCCCTTTAAAGGAGCGGTGCAACGATATTCAATTGGAATGTTTTTCTCTCTACACGAGCTTACTGGCACACCTGGGATTCAAGGATATTCACCCGCAACGCCATTGGCCAAGAAACTCCTTTGTTGCGGTGTAATTTCAAGGACAAAAGCGATCATTTTCATTCAATCTCTCCTTTGCAAAATTTGATGACGTAACTCGGGGATCGCAGTACACCCAAGTGACGATATTTGAATGCGGTTCATAGATTGGACCCGAGCATTGCGTGGGCACTCGACTTGGGCTCGTGACAATTGCTAGCTCGAGAAGCATTCGGGTTGTGACCCGTGTCCAATCGCTGCAACGACGACAACAGCCGAGCCATAACAATGTCTGGAACTCAGCGCGTGTTCTGCGCCTTGCCAACCCCAGCGCGTGGCTATGATCTACATTGGCGGCATATAATCGGCTCCAGATCACGTGGCCGCTTGTTCTGGCTGCGAGTTGAGGGGGTGAACGCTGCTCGTTTTTCTTAAATTTTTTTCTGGGACTTCTATTGCGTGGGGTGAAAAACGAACGCGTGTTTCATAGGTCATTAACGTTAGGGATCCGTTTTAAGCGGTATTTGTGCACAGTACAAAAATTGTTGCATCGCTCCTTTAAGTCTCCGCCTTGAAGTCGAAACTCCTTGGCTCGAGACTTCACTTGCTGCACCGTTCGATTCTTACTGTTGCCTCGAGGTACGCGTTCACTGCTGGTTTTAAATCGGGGAAAATGTGCGCGTGGTCTTCGGAGTTCCTGGGTGTTTTATTCTACAGCCTAGCCCTAAAGGATTGCTGAAGTTCTGCCGTCCACTGAGGGTGTACTGTACGTTCTTGCTTCAGGGCCCTCGGGAGTTTTTGGTGCGCACGGCGATGGCGGTTTTTCCTTCCTTGTCTCTAGCGGCGTCGGTGTAGATTATCATTGCATTTTCTTGCTTCTTGAGGTGCTCAATGAGCTCCAAATGTTTCTTGATCACAAGTCCCCTACGGCCGGCTAGTTCAGTCCCTCGATTCTTTGGAACTGGCTTGAAATCCACCACTGCTTCATTTTCCCATGGGGGTGGCGGGGGTTCCTTGCCGGTCGCTTGCAATGTTCTTTCTCCTAGCTCTCGTGGACTAGGGGGCTATGTTGCGCTTTTTTCACTCCCAGGAGACTATGGAGACGGAAGTGACTTCAACAACGCAGCAAATGCAAATTGGATGTTGATTTTGTTTTCTTCTGTCAACATCCAATCTGCGTTTGCTCTAGTCGTTGACGTCATTTCCTTCTTCCAAGTCTTCTGGGAGTGCAAAAAGCGCAACATAGCACCCCTGTCCATGCCATGTCAGGTTTTCTCTAGCCTGGTTCTTTGGTTCATTTGCACATCCGCTGTTATTTCTGATATCAGGTTGATCTGCGCTGCCTGGCGAAGGTCTTCTATCGGCGTTATTTTTCGGAAGGCCAGTGATTGTTCTCATGACTGGGCGCTTGGTTTTTTGTTTTTCTTTTCTTTCCGCCCCTTTGTCAATCTCAGATAACTTCACCCGTAGACGGCTTTGGACATTGGTAGAGCTCTGACTATCCTCTATAGAAATTCTTCTTGCGCTCCTCATGACTTGTTCGAGATGCATTTTAGAAGTTTCATTCCGTCTTTCCAACGCGTCCTTAGCTACATGAGCCAACTCGTGGCTACCCCGCCCTGTTCGAATGTGAGTCCCGGTACCCTGATGCTCGGCTGGTGCCGAATTCGCATTCCTTTCATGGTGAGTCTTATATTAAGCTTCGCCCTCGCGCACTTGTGAATGATGTTCAGGAATGCCGTCTTCCTGCGAAGCGTCTGGGTGCTTTCCATGTTTCGGCATTGGCTGAAACGTTGAGGTCTTCTATTCCTTGGGTATAGAACTTTCTTCCGAGTTTTTATTCAGTAATTCTTGCAGAGCTTTCTCTGGGAGGTTTCTGAGAGCCGAGATCGTGAATTGATCTTGGCCTGGCGCCGTATCACATTTGGCTGATCGTAGCGCTGCCTGCAGCTCACCCATAGGGAAAGGTTGGTTCTCGTCCAGGTCGTCAGCCTCCTTCTCTAGCTCGTAGATAGATTCGACGGATAGTGCCGCAGACCGCGGAAAGAAAGAGTACGCCGCCACGTCGCTGAGTGTTTCTTCCGACACCCCAGTCGAAGAACTACATTGCTTCCGGTACACGGCGCTCTTGCCTTACCGGTTATGCTTCTATAGGTTCTTCCTACCTTCTTGAGGCTTGTTTTGACGTTGATGAACTCACAATGGCTTTTACAACGCTGCCTGCTTAGTTCAAGAGTGTATTTTTTAGCCCTTGCCGTTGCCAGATTTAGCTTTACCTTCAGTCTCTTTATCTTGTCTGGTTTCGTCTCGCGGTATCTGTGCAGGGCCGGGGTCTCTCTCTGCAAGGGCTGGGTCTTCGCATTGCACTTTGTAGATTTCTCTTGCTCTTCTAAAGCGTCTTAGATCCGTCTGGTGAGACTCAAAATTTAATTTTCTATCATGGCTTTCTTGAACTTTGTCCCAACTTATGAACGGGGCGTTTTTCTTCACCGTAGATTTTAGCCCTAGCCTCACATGGATTAGCGATGAATGAATGTCACTTGTGTTGCCATCTCTCGAAAGACACAGCGAGCAGACGACGGACTCCATTGTCTGCTGGCTGCGATTGCGGGGGTGGCGCTACAAGTTGCATTCATCGCTAAACCAACTCGATCGTTTCGAACAAGCACAAGTTTGGCAAGATTGTTGGTCTCATTTTATTACAAAAAATAAAACAAATAAGAACTACGTTTTGAAGTTTCACAAGGCAAAACTGATCACCTCGCACATTCGGTGAGAGAGTTTTAGTTTTGTTTATCTGCAGCCGCCCATTTCTCCCACTTGTCTTCCAGTGTAAAGCATGGAACACATGAGCGGTGAAACTGGGTGCCCGCGCCGTTCGCCGCTCGCCGCTAGGCGCTCCCCAGGCGCACCGCGCGACTTTATCTGTCTCGACTAGGGGTGTCGCGAACCGGCCGCGGTTCGAGTTCGACCAGGTTCGACTTTTTCGAACTTTTAGCGGGAAGTTCGTCGAACCTTGTATTGAGGTTCGACTCGTGTGCGCATGCGCGAAAGGCTGGCCAGTTGGCTTCGGATTGGATGGTAATGGCTAAGAGATGAATTAAGTGCAGCGCTGATCGGCTATTTCAGTCAATACAGTACTAAAAATTAAGTTATCAACTTCTTCAGTGAATAAAATTAGTTTCTTTTAATTGCAGCTGTTCACACAATAAAATAACCCTTTGCATAAAAAAAAAATTCTCCAAACCTAGGCATGCTTGTATCAAGGTCTGGCCACACTGTCCACAAAGTCGAACCGGTCGAACCCCGAAAGTTCGACCAAAAAATCTGGTTCGACAAAAGTTCGCGACACCCCTAGTCTCGACCAGATCCGAGCGCAGCGAGGAAGTGACGTAGGGACGCCAGGACCGGTTGCTATGATTCTGCCGCTCGGCAGCCGTTTTCTTCGCTCATGTTTCCCCTGCTTTAGTTCCACTGGAACCTCTCTGTTTATATAATTACTTTGCTGTTGTTGTTGTTCTTTTCTTGTTGCATTACCGCAATATTCAGCCGAACCTTCCATTTAGAGGCATTGCATAACATTAACGACAATTTCTTCGGTAGTGGACGGTATAGAAAGATACATATGAAGTCACATTGCTACTATACATCATACAAAAGACAGTGTCTACAGTCACTGTCTAAGGTGGGTTTATCCTTTGTCCCGCCGCATTGGTAAAGCAAACACTCTCTGCAGACACGTTCTGTAGGCGTACAAATGTACGAAGCCAACATTTGCCTCGATCATGCTTAACAAGTGGCCGGAAATGCTTCTGCCATCGTGTCTCCAGTGAACACCCTGTCCTTTAGACGACGTACGCGAGTGGTTTGACTGCGATTTCAAGCATCCTTTACACGACGCCTTTTGGGTAAAGGCCTCCTAAGTTATAACCCTGTAATTTATTGGCCCCTGTCAAAAGCTCGCGTCACCAAGTGGCGGCTGCGCCAACACTGCCCAAATCCGCCAATGTTGGGGCGCGTTCTCCGAACGCTGCGTCGGCGTTCGGCGCTAACTCAGCTCGGCTGGCAACGAGAACGAGTGCTGCTCGTTAGCGTTCGCCGAGGATTCGGATCCGATCGCGAGCTTCGTGCTCAAAAAATGGCCCACCGCCAGAGTTCCTTCATGGGCTTTTGAACATGGTATTTCTCGTTTTCTTTCTGTCAGTTCCACACGTGAACCAAGGAAAGTTGTTGGGAGGTCTGTGGCTCGAGCAGCACACCGAGGATTTACGTGCTTTCGGAGAGGAGGTGTCCTTCAACTTCACCAACCCCGACGTTGACATGCCACTCAGAGTCACGCCAAACGAAACTTTCAAAATTACCGTCCGACTGTGCCGCAAGTTCCTCCCCGTGAGTTCAAGTCGCCGGCTTCTCTCTGCGCCGTTTTCGTCGCGGAATAGATGAGACCAAGGATTGCCGGTGTCTCAAAATAAGGCCCACCTACAGAATCGTTTTCTGCAGGGCAGAAAATCGGTTCCCAGTTTCCTCCTCTCCATTCCATCTCGCACACTTCTCTCCTCCTCTCCCCAGAGGGGCGGGTCTCTGAGCTGCTCCCTGCAGAGAAGAGGAAAGTCTCCCTCTTTCCCTAATATAAAAAAGGAATTGAGGGAGAGTTTCCTTCATTTTCGCTGCTTGTAAGCATTTAAAGGGGCGATAAATTGCTTTTCGAGATCCTCGTTTTACGGTATAATTCCTTCTCGAGCCTTAAAAGCATCTAAAAAAAAGAAAGGCTCGAGGTACACCTAAGCACTTCTTATGAGTTGTGAATGCAAAAGCATGCATGTCGTTCTTCCGCTTTCTTCTTTCGACTGCGGCGTACTTCCATCGACGGCCGAGTCCGCACTCCCGCTCTCCTCGCCGCTCTGGCCTTGGGCGTGGAGCCGCTGCTACAGTGACTTTAACCTTGCTCGGCGTGGAGACACGTCGCAACGTGTTATCGGCGCGCTGACGGACAGGCAGCGCCATGGGGTGGCTGTCGTTGAAACTGACGCCCAGCGGCCAATGGGAGCCTCGTCGACGCACGCCAGCCGATGGGACCGAAGCCGAAATATATCGGCTTCACTCCGCTCTTTTGGGATCAGGGAAACTAGGTGCCACTTCGCTAGGCTTTTCGCGTGGTCTCAAAGCTGGGAGCCGGCTTCACTTGGAGAAAAGAATTAAGGTGCCTCTTGACGCGGCTTCAAAGCTGATGACGTCGGCTTGCTGCGTGGGACAGTTAATGTTTTCACATTAAAAGTGATCAAAGATTGCGACAGTTACCATTGTCGCAGAACGACAGATGGTGCTACCGAACCTCGCTGGATATGGTGGAACGACGAACAGTGCGCTTCTCAGCCACATTGCGAGCGATGGGTTCCCTCGCGGACGAGAGGGATTGGTCGACGCAGCTCGTCCGCGAGGGAACCACTTGCTCGCGATGTGGCTGACAAGCGCCGCCCGTCGTTCGATCATATCCAGCAAGGTTAGGTAGCGCCATCTGTCGTTCTGCGACGATGGTGCGTTTCGTAATCTTTTATCACTTTTTTTTAAATATGCAACTCGGCCGCAAATCAATGTAATTTCGTTTTTGTTTTAGGATGCTTGGAGCTCGTAGATTGAATTGTGACCACAAAACGAGGATCTCAAAAAGCGCTTCATAGTGCCCTTAAATGATTTGTATATCGTATTTAACTACATATTAGGAAAGGTACGAGTTGATTGTATTTAGGTACTGCCCAGGCAGCACGCCAGTGAAAAAAATGAAAGCCGTTTACAACTCCCTGTAACGCCGAATTAGAGCGCAGCTCTTGGGGAGGAGGAGGGAAGGGTACTGGGGGGGTGGGCCAAGTGACCTCGGGGGGCGGGAAGTCACGTGACCTCGGGGGTCACGTGACCTTGTGGGAGTCACGTGACCTTGGGGCGTCACGTGACGTCGGGGGGTCACGTGACCTGGGGCCACGTGACGATGCCGATGACGTCATCAGTGACGTCACTGATGACGCCATCAGTGAATATGACGATGCGGATGCCGGTGACGTCATCAGTGGCGTCACTAATGACGTCATCAGTGACGATGACGATGCGGATGCCGGTGACGTCATCAGTGACGTCACTGATGACGTCATCAGTGGCTATGACGTCAACGGGGGGTCACGTGACCTCTGGGGGTATCCCCAGGTCACGTGACCCCCCCCCCCCGGGGTCACGTGACCTGGGTAACAATCGTGACCCTCGTGAGGGTAACCCTAGTAACCCTTGTGAGGGCAACTCTCGTGACCCTCGTGAGGGTAACTCTCGTGACCCTCGTGAGGGTAACTCTCGTGACCCTCGTGAGGGTAACTCTCGTGACCCTCGTGAGGGTAACTCTCGTGACCCTCGTGAGGGTGACTCTCATAACCCTCGTGACCCTCGTGAGGGTAACCCTCGTGAAGGTGACCCTTTTGAGCGTAACTAACCCTCGTAACCCTCGTGAGGGTTACGAGGGTAAGTAACCCTCGTGGAGGGTAACCCTCGTGAAGGTAACCCTTTTGAGGGTAACTAACCCTCGTAACCCTCGTGAGGGTTACGAGGGTAAGTAACCCTCGTGAGGGTAACCCTCGTGAAGGTAACCCTTTTGAGGGTAACTAACCCTCGTAACCCTCGTGAGGGTTACGAGGGTAAGTAACCCTCGTGGCTCTCGTGATCCTCGTGAGGGTAACCCTCATGAGATTAACCCTCGTAACCCTCGTAACCCTCACGAGGGTTACGAGAGTTGCGGTTACGCCGACGCCGACGCCGACGCCGACGCCCACGCCGACGCCCACGCCGACGCCCACGCCGACGCCCACGCCGACGCCGCTCAAGCCGGGAACGGGCCCCTAAGAGCTGCGCTCTAAAACCTAGAGCCACACTCACACTGCTCATACACGATACAAAAGACGTTCGTTGCAGAAACGATGACAGAATTATAAGCACCAAGCCTATTCGAAGTAAGTTTGCATCACACGCGTATGCTGTCGTATGACGAATGTGACCGCCATACAAAGAAGAAACACGCCTCAAACGGCATTGCAGAGTGTCTTTTGTATCATGTCTTACCAGTGTGTCCGCGTTTGGCAGTGCGGGGAGTTAATTTCCTAAAGTATTTGAAGACGATCGGATATAACATTCCGTATATTTGTATTTCTATTCATATTTTTTTCTCGAAAGACTATAGTTCCGTTTTTTTATTAAATACATTTATTGTCAAGTAATTCGCAGTTGTGTTTCGACTACAGTCTTTGCGAGTATTTTGCCTATCCCTCGAACAAATAAATATATGGACAGCAGTTTCAACGTAACTTGGCGAACAGCGAAATCTCCGGGGAGCTAATCTGAGCGTTGCAGTAAGGCACGTGACAAACATGACGCCGGAAGGCGCTACTTCTGTATAGGTTCATCACGCGTTTATTTTTTTCTTTCTGGAGTTCACCACGAAATCAGTTACGAGGGTGCAGATCACAGCAGTGGCCGGCATATGCGCCTTTGCGTGCACACAGCCAGAACAGCTTTGTGTTCCTATTTCGAACTATTCCAAGCAGTGTCGCCATCTCACCCAGAGTGCACAGTAGTTGGATACAAACGCTATCATCATCATCCCACGGGGGTACAATTTCGGCTTCGCCCGCAAATCAAAAATTTCCTATGGTAGCATAAATATTCGCGAACTTTTTTTTTTTTTTTTTCAACGGTCATTGATTTTGAGACATATACCTGTCGAACATTAAGGTAATCGAAAAAGGTAGAAAAAGCAAAATATTTTTTTTTTAATTCAGTGGTTTTTGTGTGTCTCTGTGTGTGTTTTTTTAATGGTCGCGTCTATTAGACGCTACACCATTAAAATTAGAATAACCGAATGTGCGATTCAAACAAGAGAAAATTGTCATGGAGTCGTCGAGATTGAACGGTTCTATTTAATGCTTTGAATGTCGTTTTCATTATTGTGACGTCGCGATCTGCTGATTGGTCGACGCTGTGTGGTACTTTTAGTTTACGCTTTAACCGCCGGGGGAGTATTCGGCGCTGGTGGTGGCCTTTGCTCCGCCCAATGGCCAAACTCTCCCAAACTACGGCTCTGGTTTTGTTGACGCTACAGCGTCACCAGGTCGAGAGAAATAGGCCCCCGCAGTCGCGCGGCGTAAAAATAACGCCCAAAACCTTTTTTTTTTTTTTTTTTTTTTTAATGCGAAAGCATTAACTGGTCCCATGGATTGAGCCGACGTCATCAGCTTTGAAGCCAAACTTCAGCTAAACTCTCCTCTCCCAACGGAGCGAAGTGAATAAGCCGGGATCTGAAGGCTCCGAGCTTTGAAGCCGCGCAATAAGCCGAGCCAAACGGCACATGAATTCTCCTCTCCAAGTGAAGCCGAAATCTGATGGATAGGGCTCCCATTGGCCGAGGCGCGTCAGTTTCTAGCAGAGCCACCCGATGGCGCTACGTGCCCGCGCCAGAGAGCGCCGGGAAAAGGAAGCGTTTGGCTGGCGGGGCCTCCCGGAGAGAGCCCGCTCGAGCATCCCCCGGAGCGCGCGCAAGAACGACAGTCATGCTTTTGCATTCACAACTCATAAGAAGTGCGTAGGTATACCTCGAGCCTTTTCTCTCTCTCTCTCTCTCTCTCTATCTTCAGTTGAAGACAGGTGTAATATTTTTTTTTATTTTAAATAATTTGAATGTTTTGGTGCGATAAATGTTCTGCTTCTACGTGTAGCGATAATCCCTGAAGAAGAGGAGCGGGGATTATTATCGTTATTCTTGACCAGCTCGCTCGCACCTTTGCATAGATTGCATCATCGTCATGATCATCCCTGCGTATGCGTCCTCTGTGCACGTTTATTATTTTCGTCGCGCAATGTTCTCATTTCAGGACGACTTCAAGCTTAAGATTTTCCTGGGTACCTGGCAGCATTCGTTCGGGTGTTGCAACGCGCGCGTGAACTTCACGAGGGAATGGAAGAAATGCCTCAACTACGACGAGTCCGAGCAGAAGACCAGCGCCAAGCAACCACGCAGTCGCGCCGAATTATGAGCTACAGAGGCGCATTCTTTGCCTTTGGCTTATAATAAAAAACAAAAAAGGTCATATATGCCAACTCGAAACAAGCTCTGTCGTTTTGCCAATTGCGTCATTATTACACGTAGAACTGTGACAGTTGCTCCGGTTCGTATACATCATACAAAAGACCCAGTGTTTGCTCCAGTCATGATGACTGAATTAACGGCGGGCGCACTTTAAGCGTGCTCGAATCATGTTACAGTCGAATCTCGTGAATGCAAACTCTCTTAATTCAAACTCGCGGATAATTCAAACTAACATTCAGTTCCCATCCTATGCGTCTATAGGGGAGGCCACTCCCGGTTATTCCAGCTTCGCTTTATTCAAACGAATGTTCGGTCCCCCTCGAGTCTTAATTAACGAGATTCGACTGTAGGTTGATACATATCTATAATTCTAACATGAATGCAGACTGTTCTTGAATGTCTAAGGCGACAGGATTGTCGTACGATGAAGAAACGGGCCTCAGACAACGCCCGCAGAGTGTCGTTTGTACGGTGTATTGAGAGTGCGACATGGCTCAAAAGGTCAATTTTTTGACATAGAGATATCAACTGATGTGTGCTTGGTGCGGGGCAAAGGTAGAAGAGGCGTTGCATGGGGAGATCTCTGATTTCTATCGAACCTGATGTACTCAGTGACACCCCATTATGAGACTGCTGCATTTGCGGATAAGGACGTCTAGGCCTTTGTCTTCTCTGCGGACTGCACACGTGAGTATTTCCATTCCGGCTAATGCGAGTGAAACCAGGACTCGTGAGGGGCGCGTTTGAATGTGTTGGAAAGAACGAACTGCGAATCAAGAAGCCTGAGATTTTTATAAGCCAGGCAGCTGCGACCTCAAACCAACATCCACTTTTTTTTTTTTACCGGTTATTTTGTATCACCAAACTGGAGCTTTTGTTGTTGGTTGCCAGTATTTCTTGAAACTCGAATCATCCGCTAAGCCACCCTTACAGTGATAAACCCAAAAACTGGGAACACATTAAAAAAAAAAAAAGACAAACGCATCGCTTAAAAAAATTAATTGTTCCCAATTTCGGGTTTATCATTATGAGGTTTGCTAACCAGCTCGCGTGCGTTTCTTTTTTTCTTTTTTTCTTTTACAGCGAAGCTTTTTATGGCTAGGGTTCCGTGGATTTTTTGTGTGCGTCAACAAAAACTCATTTTTCCCCGCTAAATTTAGTGGACAGTTTTCCCCGCCAAATTTAGCGAAAAAATTTAACCGCTAAGATTAGCGGAAAAATTCCCCCGCTAAATTTAGTGGAGAAATTTTCCCGCTAAATTTGGTGGGAAAATTAGCGGGAAGGAGGAGGAGGAGGGAAGCGCACTGCCCTCTCTTTGTCGTCGTTTCAAGCGCTTGCGTGCCTAGTTTCCTTTTCTTCCACTGGGTGTCGGCCCCGTCGCGCGTGTCTAGCCTCGGGGCGGCGATAGTCCTTGACATGTGCACATGTGTCCGTACCTTTCGTCACGATGACCACCGATCAAGACAATAAATATGTTCGTATTTTTCTTCAGAATTCTGTCACTTCTGTTTCGTGCTAAACAGCTTCGCTGGTCATCCTCAATTTTTTTTCACTTTTAAGTTTTTTGTGTTTTTTTTTATCTGTAAAACATTGAAGTGTCGGCAAATCTGAAACTTTAAAATGGAATTGCATTTTCATGAAACGTAATTCGTAAACGTTTTTATAAAAATTGCAATTGCCTGCTGGAAGTTGTTTTTGGAGGGAAACGGGGAGGGGAGAGAGGGGGGAAGGCAGAGGGGGAGGGAGGCTGTGCGAGAACATGAGGGATGGCAGAGAGCAAAGAACAACTATATCTTTGATTAATGACTACTTTGTGTGTGTACGGGTCTCGATGAATTAGGCAAAAAAGAGCTGAAAGCACAGAGCCGATCTTTTTTTTTTTTTAAACGAACGCGTGTAACAAAAACTGTTAAAAAAAATCTGACACAAATATTATGTGTCTCAGAGGCCATTCTTAGGCAGATAGGAAATAAATATTGAAAATAAAATAAACACAACACTCGAATTAAGTCTACATTTCTTAGCGGCGCAAATGCGGAACTGAACGTAACTATAATAATCCATGGAGAAGGAGAACAAAGGACAACACAAATCTCCAAGAGAGCTAGGGGACCGGTGCGCGACTGAAAACATTCGCCTGGTTTTAGTATCGAACCAGGGACCTCTCTATTTCCAGTGGAGCACTCTACTTATTGAGCTAATCTTGAGTTAGACGTCAGTAGAGCAAAGGGGTAAGTCCCATACATTGTTACACATTGGCTGACTGAGCTTTTTCTTTTTTTTTTCTTTCTGTGTGATGCAGAATAGAGCCACTAAATGAGGTGTGCTTAGAGTATCGGCACTCTGTTCCCCGACACTGTTGCGGACGCCACCATTTTGGTGCTTGTGCAGAGCAGACGCAACTGCCGATCGTCATGATATAAAAGTGCGATTTCCTCAGCATTAGATTCAGTGTTAGGAAGCTCATGTAATATTTCTTGGCGCCTTAACTTTGACCCGTGCTTCGACAGCGTTTAATTTTTTGTCGTTTCTTAGTATTTTCCTCGTGATCTCGCGTTCCGCACCTGAGCAGTCACGCTTCTACATGTGTGACAGTTTGAGACGCTCAAGTTTGTACTATACCCAAAACAAGTCCTAACAAGTATCTTTTCGCAGCGCCCCCTTGGGCAACGCAGGAGGCCTATATGCCAGCCACATATCGGATGAGTTCCCACGTGCGAACTGTTTTTGCACATTTTTGAGTAAGAATAAGTGGAAGTGTAGATACGAAATGTGTCTGGTAAAAGTTTCGTAATTTTCGATTTGACAGACATGAGACAACGAGCGACTTTGATAGTCAACAAACGGTCGATACGACAAGCGTTGGTCCGGGCCTTTTCCTGCCATCTCGCCAGATGGATGCACACCCGATAAAAACCGCTGATTACTGTTTCTGTACCCTTTGTCGTCATAGCCGTACGCCCAAAGGCGAACTGCTCAGCTCTAAGTGCTGTGGGGAATTCCCATCTTACACCGAGTAGTCCGGGTCAAATTTAAGTTGCACGAAAGTATGCACGATGAGGCGGGACGTGTGCAACGCTTTTCTGCCTCGCGGAGGCCTAAACCAGAGGCCTAAACTATCTTAGAGTTGTCCAGCTCGGTGCCGCATTCAAGGGGGAGGGGCTTCTGGGGCTGCAGCTTCTGTATACGTCGCAGCAATAACACATCATAAGAGACAGCCTGTTAACACTGGCCGAGGAGCTTTTCTTCCTCGCATAGGACGCTGGTGTCACCCTGGTCGTACAAAAAACTGTTTGCACAATCTTTCGGCATGCTATGTATGAAGCAAACATGCCTTATACCCTAGTTACGCGAGCGTTCTTTACTGTCATGGAGACCCCGACAGTCGGCTCAATCGGCCAAAGTTAACATACCTGAGGCGCAGTTGATTCTGTCACCATGCCTGCAGAGGACACCGTGTCTTGTGTACGATGTAGGAGCAGTCTGCCTGCGGCTTTAGGGCACATTATCCGACCCTTAGTGTGACGTCACCAGGTAAAGTAGGCAGGCCTTGACAGTAGCTAGGAGGCCTTCATGAAATACGCTACCCGCACCCGCGTTGCAACATCATTTATTTCTGCGTAAAGTGTTAATTTGCTTCTGAAAACGTAAAACAAAAAAGCTTAAGCTTCACCTTCAGGATTGGAACGGGATAGCGAAACGTAAACATATAAACTCACACTTGTTCCCCATGCAGCCGTGCAGGTGTGCTTTGCGTGGCGTAGTGTCTGGCTCGCAATCAAAGGGTCGTGGGAGCGAATTCTGCCTAAAATTCTTCAAATTCTTTTTTTAAGGCAAACTAATTATTTTATGAAGTAAAACAAAGGGAAATAAAATGATAACGACCTTCAATTCGCATTGCATGTCACGCTTTTTAATCACATTCATTCCACGCGTAAAGTCACGTTTCACGTGAGCGTTGTGGGTTGTTTGAAATTCCCGCGCGACGTCATGTGGCTGTGACGTTATTACCTCATCGACCAATCCTGGATATTAGCGCACGCCACCGACACCAGCTGTTCTGCGACACAAACTCCATAACGCTACCGCGTTAAAAAAAAAAACAAAAAAAAAAACAATTCGAGTGAAGCGTTTCAAGTGACAGAGATTACGACGCACTCGCTTCTTACCAGCCACAAATGACGTTTGTTGATAGGCGGAACTTTTGAACGCGATATCAACCAGACAACGACCGGCTAGTCGGACGCAAATAGCACGACCAAAGATTGTTTATCTTCCCCGCCTGTGCAAGAGCAAGAAAATGGTTTTAATACGCCAATAGGAATAAACTGTGTTTAAGCAAACGTATGATCAAATACATGATTCTACGCGAACCACATTAACAGACGGGCATTCCAACGTGCGGTAGGTAAGTCACCGAGGTCTGAAATGAAGAGTGTATTTGCGTATGGACACAGCTTCAGGGATTGTAAGAAATGGACGAAACCACCTTATAATAAAAGCCACGACCCAACTATTCTCAATGACAGCTCAACAGGGAGTGGCTGAATGTGTTCGCGATTCGTGCTTCGTAATACCACCAGGTAGCACTGAAGGAGGTAGGAAGGGTGGCAGGCGAGGGGGTTATTTTGAAGGCAGCGCCACTCAGGAGTCCTAGCGGCCGTACGAAGAACAACCTGACGGAGACCGTATGCTTTTTGCGTTCTGAGGAATAATCTAGAGGAAAAAAAAAAACGGTTTTCTGCGTAGTTCCTTGTTTCTCTTTACCAGAGTTGGAAGTAATCCGTTGCAAGCAACGGAATTACTTGTAATATTTACTTTTCTTGTAATTTAGTAATAATTGCGTTACTTTTTTGAAAATGTAATTTGTAATGTAATTCCACTAATTTTTCAGTAATGAATCGTTACATATCTTCCAATACTCTTCCAATACAATACTCGTTACCATTCTTCCATCCCGTCAAAGCGAGAGATGGAGTGGAAGAAGGGCGATGCAACCAATGCAGCGACCTGGAGAGGGAAAGGAAAGGAATTCAACGGAAAGCCCGACAGCCCAGACAGAGCCCGGTCTCGTTCGTACGGTCAGCCAGGCTCAGAGGATTCGACTGCCTACATAGGGGCAAAAGGCTTCGACTTCCTGGAGTACGAGCGGACTCCTTCGGGCTCACAAAAGAGCAAAAAACTAATGGGTCATAAAACCGACGCGTGAGGTTCGTGAGGAGTAGGACCGTGGCACCGTGACCGTGGTGCATGTGTACCCCTCCCTGCGCCCCTCTACCCTCATCCTTTCCTTCCCCCCCCCCCTCTCCGTCTTGTCTCCCAAAAACCAATCGCCATTGGGATTTTTGTTTGTTTGCTTTTGTCGTTGTGACACGCAACCGCCCTTTGCTTGTCGGTGTTTCTACACACTCAAACACACACACACACACACACACACACACACACACACACACACACACCGCAAACACAGAAAAAGCACGAATGAGACCTCGCCCCTGCTCATCCTTGACAGCTCCATGAAAGCTAAAGACCAACCAGCTATGTAGCTTCTGTTACTTGACTTCGCACTTGCGGATGCGTAAGATTTGTTTTGTTTGTTTGGCAATGTATTTTAATTACTGCGTAAGGCAGAAATATGAGAGGTGCTATGGAATCAGTTCATGGGAACAGAAAAAGTACAACATCAACCCTGCTGTCAATTTAAACAGTAACTTTCGATAGGAGGCATTAAGCTGGTCGGGAAGCACAACCAAAACGGCTTGGGTCTTCGAAGCTCAACACATAATCTTGGAAACAAGGATTCTGCGGTTCTCGTCAGCGGATTGTGCCTGCGGGAACTTATACCGATATTTTAGGAGAAGGGAACACAACCCGAGTTTTTTTTAGAATTAACAGTGGCTGACTTGGACACTGGAGTAGTGAGTTGAGGCAGCGCAAGGTGGCTGTAAACACGTGAGAGACATGGAAGCCTGCTGCTCACTGACAATTCTGTTTATATATATATATATATATATATTGTAACGATATATATAGAATTGTAACGATATATATATATATATATATATATATATATATATATATATATATATATATATATATATATATATATATATATATATATATATATATATATATATATAATTTCTAAACGGCAAAATCACTTCAACTGGAAGATTGTGCATTCCTATTTCGTGTGAAGTTTTGGTTTTCATAACTTTGGTGATCGAGAAAGAAAGTCAAGTGGGTCGTTCGGTCGGATAACAAACTTCATCAAGCAGGAGTCTTTGCAATGTATCCAAACGCAAGTACCGCATCTTAGTCTCACAGTCACTCAGTTTTTAGGGGGAAAACCTAAAGTCCCTCGATACTTTTTTTACAAGTAACGACAACCAATACAAATTACAAAGCACATTCCGCTGGAACAAAATCGCGTCATCCAGTTCAGACCTCTGCTGTGGGCCACCATTCACTTCCTAAAACATGCACCGTCACGCAGTCAGGCCGGCGCTTCAAAGAATGTCACCTCTAGCAGGAAGCTCTTATCTATATGGACTTTAGGTAAACCTGCAGCCCCTATTTAGGCAACGTGCAGCAAACATACAAAAACCCCATCTACTAGGGAATCGTGTTTTGAAGTTCGCCGATGTCAAACACGAATTCATCCGAATGGTGCGCGTGCCTCCACCGCCCAAGTGCATTCGTCGCATGTTCGTGGGATTTATTTCTGTTCCGGTTGGAGAGCGCAATAATCGGTTTTTCGAACACCCGTTTATGCACTTTAATATTGTAAAGATTCGTCTTCCTAAAATTATTAACATAAAAGTAGGGTAGATGGTACGAAATAGCTTTTATTTCTGATGGGACCCTAAATTTCACCCCTGAAACGCGCAGTAGATATTACGCGTATTTTGAGTGTTGTTTTGGCGTAACGCGAAAGTAATCGAGTAATGTAACGAAGTAATTAATCAGTTACTTCTTACGGGGAGTAAGTTGTAACGGTAATCCATTACCTTTGAGGCGAAGTAATTGTAAAGGTCCTTAGTTACTTTTTTGGAGTGAAGGGCTCAAGTCTGCACTCCACGGCTTGCCCTCCTCTCTTAACGGGAGCTGGAGCAAGTAGCAGCCCAAGGACTGGGAAAGGAGGCTTTTAAGCCATAGTGGTAAAAAAAAAATAGCAGAGAAGCCTTTTTTTTTTTTTTTTTTTGCAATTTAAGAAAGATGAAAGTTTTGAAAAGGGCTTACGGAATTATGAGTGCGCCTCCGCCTTTATGTCTTTTTTTTCGTCGTGTCCTGACGTTTTCTCACTCCCAGTTTGACCAAGACGCGGAAGCAGGAACCAGGCATTTATATCTTTTGCCATGTCCCCCTGAGACATCTCTTTACAGGTATGTCTTAAATAAAGTCATAAACAAACAAACGAATCAAAAGGCGTGAACCTCCTAAGCCATGCGTTTTTGAAACTGTCGGCGACTGGTGCCTACCGGAAGGGCAGAGTAAAAGTCACAGACAGCTCAAGAGAGGTAGGGCGCGGACACAGGCACGCACTCATAAATACACACACAGACACGCACGCACAGCAGATACAGCTGTCTGCGTCTTGCAGAGACGAGGGGCTATATCTGTCTGGGAAACGAACTCGGACCTTGGACTGCCAGGACGCATTTCCTAATCTGATGTACGAAGCGAAGGGGCGACTGCACGACTCAGTCCATCTCCTGCCCCGTCGCTCCAAGATGGGCTGAAGGCAGCCACGACCGCCCTCCGCTGACCCGTCTATTCGCGGGCCAAACACTCGAAGGCAACTGCCGCAGTTTACGCCTCCCTATCGACGAGTGGATAACAAACTTGGTGAGTTGTCCTTATTACGAATACACTTCTCGCTTCCTTTAAAGACGCCTCACAATGTCACTGCCGGGTATAGTCGGAAGTAGAGTAAAGGCCGGTTCTCACATGCAGCGAAGCGCTGATGTAGCGCTCCTCACGTGCCGTCAGTTACTTATCGTCTGCAATGAGCAACAGTTTTGACGGTGTGATACAAAGCTGGTGAACGCTCCCATCAGCACGCGCTTAGCGCGAGGTAAGCGCTATGCTTGTAGCGCTCCGCTGCATGTGGGAACAGGCCTTAACTGTACATGCTCTGCTGCTTGGTTATAGTCGCAAGTGGAGTTCCCAGATAGACAAGAACATATTCAAGAACTCTAGCCGGAAGAGTATTTCCATAAAAGCCCTTCTAAAGTGTTTTTTTTTTTTTTATCGTAAATTTTTGACAGGTTTCTTTTTTCTTTTCTTTGAATTTTAGGGTCATGTTGATTTGTATTTGTTGAACATTTCTTGCTTCGGCGGTCGCTTCGTCTCATTTAGGTGACATCGCGTTTTCGCGCCTTTTATGCATGATGTCGTTTTCACCGCTGCTCTCTGGTGGCAAGCTCAGCTGGCTGGACATTGCAACGTTAGCGAGTAATACCATTAACGCATAGGCGTAGACTTCGGAGGGACATCGGGGCTCGTGCCCCCCCCCCCCCCCCCCTGGTAAAATCCGGGAAGGGGGGGGGGGGGGGGGAGGCAGAGCTTCCCCCCACACCCCGGGCCCGGGCCATAATCCTTACCGAGACGCTGTTTACGTACCATGTAACGAGCTTCTAGTAATGGCATGTAAACAAAATAACGCCCACGTTGCCTTTATTGACGAAATACATGAAAAATGGAATCCCAGCGTGCCTTCGTTAGCTTTAATCTCGAGTTCTGGCAAAAAGGTAACGCGCAGCACCCCTTCCCCCGGGAAAATGGCAAGTCTACGCCGCTGCATTAACGTATTAATGAAGCCTTTGTCCCAAACCCGAAAAAAGTAGCTCGTGCAAAGTGCGCACATGCCTCGTTAATATGAACCCCATTAATATAGATCCCCGCTAATATAAACAACTTCGGGGACAAAATAAAAAAAAAAATACATGCATTTTTGTCTCGTTATTATAAAAAACTCACATTATTGACGTCTTTTTACGGGAACGGAGGAGTTCATGTTAACGATACATGACTGCATAGTTAATACGTCCTTTGTCCTTGTTTATTCGCCTTTATTTTTCTCCTTCTTGCCAGTAAACAAACAAGCTGAACAACATCTCCGAGCACCCCAGTCAAGTGTTATTTTTAATCACTTTGAGAAACGCTTGGATGGTCTTTCTTATCTGTCAACGCCGCCGTCTCATTGGCACGGAGCGATACCACCGTGTGTTCCTTGAAAACACTATCGTTAATTACCGTGCGCCCTTTCCGTTGCTGCTAGCTACCCTGAGACGATAAAGTTGCGGCAGCAAAGATTCAAGGTCGTTGCTCGCGCAGTGCTCCCGCAAGACGGTATCTCTTTCCTCTGTATGAGGCTGTCTGGCGCGCCCTTGTTCAGACTGAAGCATATAACACCGCGCTTATATCATGGCAACCTGCAATGCTGTTTGGTTTAGTGCTATCTAGCGACTGAAGCACGAAACATTGGGTATGCCTGGGAGTGGCGGCTGCATGGTTCAAACGTGAGCTGCTACTCTGGTGGCGCAGCCTAGCGTCTGAAGCAAGAAATACTGGGTAGGCCAGGAAGCCGTGATCGTATAACATGCCAGTCGGCGGGCCAGTCGGAGCGTGACTACGTATATCACCGGAGTGCGCTTTTACTGCGAAGGAGTGTAGAGTTTTTCGCTGCGTCATGCTCTATAATTATTATAGAGCATGACGCAGCGAGCGCAACGCCACACATATTATAGAGTCTATAATATGAGTGGCGTTGCGCTCGTATGCGTAGCGCGTATCAAAGCCGTCGGCACGCAATGTGCACATGGGGCTTATCGTTCACCCTTTGCCAAGGTACAACGAGATAACCGTGAGCTTTCACTCTGCTAGCGCCGCCTGGAGCTGTTACCGGCTGGTTATTGCCAAGGAGCTACGTCTACTCTATACCTTCTTTTCGCATCTCGATAATGCTTTATTTATCTTAATTACCCGTCACGCAATAGTGGCCGACCATATATGTTCGCTTCGTGGAGTCAACGCGCCTTCTTGAGCCTCTTTCACAATATGCATTCGCGTTTTCTTTGAAACGCGTCGAGCAAAATATTATATCCGGTGTTGCGACAGCCTACCAGTCACTCAGGCAGCGCGAAAAGTGCATACCGTCACTGCACTCGTCGTCTTTGCGTCTTTAATACCGCCGGCTAAAGCAATCGAGCGCAAGAGAAAAAGCGCAGCTGGTCAGGCCGAATTCACCGTGCGTCATTTGTTTAGGCCAGTGCTATCGCGCAAAGACGACGATAGGTGGCGCAAGCTACCCCCTGTTACAGAGGGTATAGCCATTAACATTCATCCACCGTGACGGTGCGCTTTTGGCCAGTGATGCTGCTTTTGGCGCTGCTTGACTGGCTCCGTCAGATCGTGGGATCGGCTGCCAACCATCCCTTTCGTCACCTGACTCCGTTCTTATGTGGGCAGGTATTGGAGCTTGATGACGTTGCAAAGGAAAGACGTACGATTGGTCCTAAGGAGCACGTATACAGCCTCCACCGCAGTCTCGGCGTAGGGGTGACCGGAGGAGTGTGAAACGAAGTGACCACGTTTGGTCACGGTGCACCATCACTAAAATCAGGCCGATGTTTTTGCCAGACTGCATCGATGGGCTTTTGGTATACAATGAGACCGCATGGCGTTTCTATGCCTCTGGTGACTTAAAGGGCAACTCCGCTTCATTTTTGGTTTTGAAAAAACAATGCAGTTCTCTTCAGTATCGCCTAGGAAGACCACACGTCAAATATTACGACGCAGTTCTGTCTAAATGTTTCTTAAACGGTCCGGCAAACTTTGCAACTCACCAAGTTGCCGAAATCGGCTGACTCCAGCGGGCAAATTCAGGCGCAACTAACAGCGCAGTCAAGGCTACGGCATGGGCGGAGCCAACATTGAGCTAAACGCCATCTACATGGCCCCCTTTTGCTTGTTTTCACTTCTCCGATCGAGCGTAGCGCGTGACGTCAGCAACGTTGCCTCTCGGCGCTCAGCGGTGTCCACGTGATTGATGTACGCGCCTGCGCAGCGCGCTTCTTGGGAGCAGACCAACCGCCCGTCGTAGTCCCGCCGTTACCGCCGTCTTTCGCGTCACAACCGCCGTCGTCGTCTCACCGTTTGTGATTATTGCCTCTCGGAGTTTCGTCCACACTATGGCCACCACGTGCGCAGAGTCCCAGACTTATGCCGCAGTTGTGCTGACGTCGTCAAATGCCGTAGACACCAAAACGTGGCGAAGAGTGCGGTGCAGACGACACTCGCGCCTGCCGCACGCCCGCCCGCCCCCATCCCGCCCGTCGTTGGACCGAGGATCACGTGACCTCTCGAACCACGTGATGGCCATGTACTTGGCGGCCCGAGGCCAATGTTGCCGGACGGAGCCGAAGTTTCGGTTTCGATTTCCGCTCGTGTTTAAAATTAGATTTAAAAATATATATCCCATTTTTCGCGAAGCAAAAGACGTAGTGTCTTTTACTAGGGCTTTTTAATTAGAAATCACTCATTATCCCGAAATCTTCGGAATTGAGCTGAGTTGCCCTTTAAGATAACATTTTGTTTATAATGCGATTAAATGCAAAATTGCAAGCGAGCTGGACAAGAATGACGAAAATAATCCATGGAGAAGGGGGAAAAGAGGGACAAAGGACAAACACAAATCTCCAAACACAGCTAGGTGACTGGTGCGCGACTGCGTGTCCTTTGTTCCTCTTGCTCCCCTTCTCCAGAGATTATTTTCGTACCATTTTGAGGGGTTTCCAATAAAATTCACGGATTGGAATCTTAGATAGCCTAGCTATAGTGACTCTAATTGGAGCCACTCGAAAGGTCATTTGTAAATAACCTATCCGTCAGCGACTCAAGTTTGATCCACTCAGCTTCGGTAAACGAAAACATACCCGGACGGGAGTAAATCGCTCGTCCTCTCGGAATCCCATGTGGGAGTTTTATATACTCCGCCGCGGAAGGGAGTTCGGTTTACTCCCGTGCAGGCCGCAGTATTTGTGGAGTGCGAGGGAGTCAACGCAAGCTCCCTTCAATACCGGAGTTTTTACGTGGCCTTTCTATATCAAAACGCCACGTACTCAGTAAACCTAGTTTCGCGCTTTTTTTTTTTTTCTTTCTTAAAGCTCCGGGGAAATTTTGATAGTCACTGATTCCACTGACAATTGCTTCTACACATCAGTAGACACATCTGAACTAGTCACCCAAATCGCTAGTCACAATAACTTTTTCTCGCAAAGTTCCTGAATTTTCAAGTTTGATCCCCTTTAACGCCCAGCCAATACTAGAGGCATACTTACTTTTTCGCGGAAATGGCTCATGCGTCTTCGGAAAAGCTTGATATGTGCTGCACTCCTTAAGAGACATCAAAAGGTTCTTCAATGGTTCGCAGGCTTCTGTCCAGGCACTCAATATTATACACAATAAGTCGCGTGGTTCATATCAATCTGCTGTTTACAACCTACTTCGTAACCTAACGCTTGGTTCTGTATAAACTTCCAATACTTTTTTTTTTAATGCGAAAGCATTAACTCTCTCATGGAGCGAGCTGACGTCATCAGTTTGAAGCGCAAAAACGGCTTCTAGTTTCTGCGATCGCCTTCGGTTCCATTGGTTGGCGCGCGTCGATCGGGCTCCGATTGGCCGCTGCGCCATGGCCTCCTATAGATCCCGAATTGCGCTGGTACACAGCAGACGACAAAGGGAGCGGACGAGCGGCTGGCATGCTTTCGCATTCACAACTCATATGAAGTGCTTTGGTATACCTCAGCTTTTCTTTTCTTTTTTTGTTTTCCTTTTTTTTTAATCGTGAACACTTAATTATGTACACAGCACGGCGCTGTTAGCGCGAACCAGTGATCGTTAATTTCTAACTGAACGGCTATACCGGAAGTACTACGAAGCCCCAGTCACATGCTCTTACATCATGCGAAAGGCAAGGGGGACACGGCATACATGATGACGGCAACATTTGAGGACACGGCTCAAGCATGCTTCAAGCGGTTTTTTTTTTAATGATTAATGTGACAGGATTGTTATACAAGGAAGAAACACACCTCAGACAGTGTCTGCAGGCTGTGTTTTGCGTGCTGTATCAGCGCGCAGCTGTGCGACGGCGGCTTTAGTGTGGCGGAAAGCACAGGGAGTTTTCGAGAAACGAGAACCGTGTTTATCGGTCATGGGTCAATAAAGTAAGCATCGCCAGAAAGCTAAGACCTCGTCAGATTTTCACGCTAGCGGTTGGAACAGAACGCGAATTTCGGGAACATGACATCACCTGCATCAAAAGATAATTGAGAAAAAAGATTTTTTTTTTTATGAGCTGACGTCCTGCTAAGCCTAACATCGTCAAAACAATGAATGACACTGTGCGCGTATGTAATACATATTTCAATCGCCAAAAATAATAACAATCAAAATAAAACTTGTAAGCAGCGAGAAAACAGCCTCGTCTTTCTTGCTAAGCTTTTTTTTTTCTTTTTTTTTTTATTGAAATGGATGACGGATGCTCCCACAGTGGCATTTCTTGTTTTAACGATATTAGGCTTAGGTGGACGTCGGCTCATTGAGAAATTTCGTTTCTTCTCGATTAACTTTTGATCAATGTACGTTATGTTCTCAAACTTTCGCGTTCTATCCCAATCACCAGCAACAAATTCTCAAGGAGTTTGCGGTTTCGGCGGTGCATAGTATATTTACCCGGGCCGAAAAAAAAAAATTACAGGAGGACACTCAAGACTGCTTACGGTGTAGGAAGGCGAAAGCATTATAGACCCGCGGGGGAAATGTTTTCGAGTAATGTTTCTACACGCATTAAAGTTTAGGACGACGTATATGGCGACGTCCTTGAGATCGACGCCAAGTACAGCATCTATAGGATGACCTCTAAAGGGGTGTCCAAACAGGACACTACAAAACGCATGATGTCGAGGACGACGTCAAGAAAGACGTCTAGGACGACTGCTAGGACGACACCTAGAGAAGGACATTTAAGGAGGCTGTGGCATATTTGGGTGGGCGACCATTTTTGCCTGCGAAAGCCGCCGTAGATGTAGACGCTGCTGCCGATGTCGAGGCCGTAGATGCAGACGCGGTTGCCGCACAGTTCATCGCACGAAGCACACAACGAGAACGGTTGACGTCCGAAGCGCTCCTTTTGCAAACGGCGCTCCGGCAGTGACATCACGCTTCCCGTACTTGAGCGTGAGGGGCACGTGCTTGATGTCGTATTTTTAAGGCCATCTTTTGGGCACAACGACGCCGCTTTTTCGCGTAATGGGACAAGTAAGGTCATCCTAGAAGCCTAGCGGACGACCTCTATTTACCTCAAGGACGACGCTGTCCTTGGCGTCGTGCTTGAACATACGATTGAGCGGCGCGTGCCGTTCAATCGTGCACGTTCTCGTTTCTCGCGAGCTCCCATTAATTTAGGACAGCAACCTAAGCCGATAATTGCCCATCAATGCTGTGTGTAAGTAAATGCAGACGGGTGCCGATGTCGCGTTCGCGCTAACAGTGTCGCGCAGGGTATACACCGTTGCTTGACCGTGACGTTAAACTCGTGCACGCTATTGTGCAGAAGATGACTGCTGACGCTGAAATGTCTGCCGGGAACCGGGATGCCGAAGTCACCCCAGCTACTCGGTTCAACTTCATGGGACGCCTGAGCTCCCTTCCCGCTGTGGTCACTCTCTGGGACGAGGCCGCCCGGTTCTACGCTCGACTGAAAGACAGCGACGTTGTCGTGGCAAAGACGTTGCGGCTTGTCGAGAGCGGTGCTGGACTCGTCGCTGAAGGCGGCAGGTCCGTTGTGAACAAGTTCAATCGCCAGCTCGGCTACGTGGATGACCTCGCCTGCCGGGGTCTCGATAAGCTCGAAGACGTCTACCCGGACGTGGCGAAGAAGCAGCCCGGCGAAATCCTCAAGGACATTTGCATCTACGGCTGCAAGAAGTGCATCGATGCTAAAGATTATGGCGTCCGAAAGGTGATCGCTGTACTTGATAAAGGTTGTCTGCAGCTAACAATCCCGTTTATATGAACAGACAGCTTAACTTCAAACGATGCCTCTATAGCAGTGGCATTGTATGCTTATATACACTTTACACACGCGCCAGATTAAGGCCAGCATTGCCGACCTTCTTTTGTCTTACTGAGATGCCGAGGCACTGAAACGGCCGTTGACGAGCCTCCACAAAGGTGCTGGAGAGAAGGACGCAGTAGAATCGAAATGGCAATAACCTGTCCTACTGGGCTGATGATGAAATGATCGAAGTGAACGGAATACGGAAACAAAAACGGAAGGCCGGTTATGGCAACGCCCATGCACAGCTGCTGCAAATCGTCTATACTCATCCTCACAAACATCATTCCGTCATTTTTGTTTTGATTTGTTTTAGTTACCGAGTTTTTTTTCCGAGGGCCTTAACTTATTTATACATTCCTTTTAAACACGGAGCAGATTAGCGACATCAAGGCCATATCTGCCGATGTCCTTCACTATGCTGCCCATCCACTTCAGACAGTCTCCGCTTGCACAACGGCGACACTGGCCTATTCTCAAGAGCTCCTGGAATTCGTCAACGCTGCTTTGGATAAGGTGTGTCTTTCAACTTCCTTTCATTTACCGCCTCAAGATTGCTTTCTGTTTCATAGTACACACCAATTTGTTTACACCCTCGATGGTGTAAATCAGCTTGTCTTGGGGCCAACACTTTAAGGGTGTTAAGGAACACCCTTAGGATGCTGGTGAGCATCCTAAAAGGAGGATGCTGACGATCTTAGCCTAGGGATACTTTTTTTCGAGCATCAAGTTCACAAGCAAAGGGCGCCACATTACAGTGAACTAACCACGTGTAGTTCTCACGTGCAGAGAGACAGCAACCCACTGAGAGAGGAATCACGACTGCTCCACCCCCTCAGGTACTTGACAATTCAGACACCCATTCGTCTCCGAAAATACGAAGGTGAAAAGTATGCTGCTTTACTCGCATCAAATATTTCACGTAAAGCATAATCTATTTAAGCCCAGTAAATGTATCTCCAAGCAAAGGAAGAAAAAAAAACACATTGACACAGGCATAATTGTTCATGTAGCCGTAAACAGATCCTCCCTGTTTGAAGCGGGTAAAATATTCAAGCAACAGGCGAACTGGTGACAAATAACTGGCGACGATGTTTAAAAAACATCAAGACTAAAAGGACAGAAAAAAAAAACTTAAAAAAAGTTGTTTGCCTAACTTTACCGTAGCACGCGCTTGCATTCGTACTTATTGTTACTCCTTTCAAGGCTGAGAACGTTTCATGTACAGCTCCCCATTGTTTTACAATTAAAATGAAAGCATTATTCGAAATAAGGATACTGAAAGGGTGTAGACCACAGGTATAAACCAACACATTATTTACAAACATGTCCACGTTTGCTCATACCTGATTTGCATGAAGTGAAGCGTGTGCGCATGTCGAAAGCAGCGCCACCGTATAACGGAGTGACATAAGAGACAGATACTGGTGTATACACCTTTTCTACGTGGGCGCCGCCATCTTCAATTTTGGAACTTCCGGTATGCGTGAAAAACATCGCTTTCCTCTCGCTTCGCCAGTAGAGTGTGTTAACATTTTAATTGCAACCGTCATTCCTTCTTGTTATGTCCTTTCTATATATTTTTTTCCTTTCCCGGGTTGAAACCTTTCGCTTTTTTTCGGAACGCATACCGGAGATGGGAACAACGTGGCTGGGTACGAGGCTAAACAAAAGAGGTGTATACACGTTTGCAAGTCGGGCTTCAGGGCGCTGCCATCTTGCTCGCTAGGGTGCGCTTGGACGCGTCCTAGTCTAAAGCCCCTTGATAAAAGCGTTTTTTACAAGTACCGCCAACCATTGTTGTGGAGGCGCGCGAGACACGTGCCATGAGCGGGTGCTCCGCCGCCATTCGCTTCCAAGGCCCGCTCATTCCAGTGCTGCGCCGCCATTTGCTTCCAAGGGCCGCTCGAGACATGGGCCTCGTGCACTCCCGCATTTGACGCTACTTGCAAGACAAGCGCAAACACATCGAGGGGCTTTATCCTAGTCCGATTACGAAGCCTTGCTAAGGCGTCATAATCGCACTGTGGCCTCGCCCAAGCGCACCCCACTGGGCAAGATGGCGGCGCCCTGAGACCGCACTTGCAAACGTGTATAGGAACACCAATTTGACACCCTTAGAGGTGTAAACGTTTCTAGAACGAACGCGTGTCTCCGACCTTCTTTCTGCCAGCGTATGAATGAGCGGGGCCTCGAGGCTGTCGAAGGTCCCTCATCCAGCGTTTCGGACGTGATCGCCCTCCTGACCCTCCTGGACACCGTCGCGCTGAAGGCCCAAGTCTGTGTCAAGGCCTCCATCACCGCTCGAGCCGCAGCTCTCTGCCAGCTTGCCGATGACGCCGTCTCCCACGTCCGGGACTTCTTCACCAGCCCACAAGAATCTGCCGACGCCGTGGTAAGCTCCTCCTCTTCAACGCTTCCTTTATTCACATATGTGGCATCAAGAAAAAAAAAAAAAATACACAAAGTTTTATGCATTATTTATGCGCTGCGCGAAGTTGTTCTTACAAGCGTTGGTTTTCAAAGGAAGAAACAACGCATTTTTTAGTTTGAAACGTGCACGTCTCGACAAAAATTAGTAAAGAAGAGGAACGTTTCTAAATGTGCACGGTTCTTGAGGTGAATATACGATTCTGGTCTGTCGCAGCATAAAGCCGCGTTCTCATCGCTAACGCATCATACAAAAGACAAAGTCCGCAGACGCTATCTCCGGTGTGTTTCATATGGCGGTCCCTTCACATCGGTCATACAAAAGCTGTCTGCGGACATGTTTACCTTATGACGCAAGCGTGCTTCGAACATGCTCGAGACGTGTCCGCATATAAACTCTCGGTGTTTAAAAACAAACCGGCGTTCGTCCACGCCAGGTGTGGGTGCTGCACGTGCGCAAAACCCGATTCGCGCGGGGTGAAGCGTCTGCGCATGCGCCGGCAGCAGCGCCACCGCAGCGGTGTGGCGTCAGGGCCGCGTGTTGGTCTTGTCGCTCCGGTTTACCTTGTCTTCTCTTGTGTGCATTTCTCCCTTCAGAACCTCCGGCATGTCTACCTGTCCCTGAGGATCACCTACGTGGCGGTCTTCGTGGATCGCCCCTTCTTTCTGCTTCGAGACCTCTTCGTCTATGTCCGGTTATCGGACTTTCTCGCTCTGCTTCAAGACTTCCTCGGCGATCTAGTGCGTCTGTTTCTCTTTGCTTTTTCGGTGATAAAAAAAAATAGCATAAGTACCATTTTCTTCTAAATAATAATTGTTCCACTCGTTATTTATTCCTCCAGCTCCGCCCTTCGGAAGAGCCGCGACCCATTCGCAAGAAGCCCATCGTGGATTCCGAACATCGTATGTCGTCATCCGGCAGCTCGTCCATACATTCGGATTGTTCGGACAGTGCTAGTGATGTCTGATCTCCAACTATGCCCTTGTTCGTCGCATTCTGACCATGGTTCAATATGATATAGCTTGAACTCTGTCTCTATTGGTCATTTAGCGTGTGCTTTTAGAGTATGTTGCAACGTTAGATCAACAGTTCTCGAGCGCAGGGGTTACCCCAAGAACTGGAATTAGGGGGGGGGCATTGAGATTAGAGGAGTGGTTGCGAATTAAGAAAAAGCCTTCAGAAAAAAAAGAGGAAAGAAAGTCGTTTACAACTCCCTGTAACGCCGAATTAGAGCGCAGCTCTTGAGGGGGAGGAGGGGAAGGTAGGGTGAGGAGGCTATGTTCTTCCTCCTCTCCTGCTCGCCTCCCATTTAGAGGAAATTTTTCCCGCTAGATTTAGCGGGGAAATTTTTCCGCTAAATTTAGCGGGGAAATTTTCCCGCTAAATTTAACGGGGAAACTTTTACCGCTAAATTGGCGGGGAAATTTTCTGTTAAGTTTAGCGGGGAAATTTACCCATAATACACCACGCGGTTACGCGCCGACGCCGCTCAAGCCGGAAACGGGCGCCTAAGAGCTGCGTCCTAAAAGAGGCGGGGGGGGGGGGGGAGGGGGGGTACTCCTCCCCTGTCGATGTGTGGGATGTGTCGCGAAACCACTGCTCCAGAGCGCGCTTGTCTTGTGACTTGGGCGCCAAGGTGTTATCGAGGGCAGAAAGCTCGCGCTGGAGGCGGATGCGCATCTACTGCTGATATTGTTTCAACAGACTATAGATGAATAAAGTTGCACCGCTGGCTTCGTTATGCCTGCTGCGTGCAATTAAAGTTGTTGCAGCAATAATTTTGGTTTGGTTTGCTTGTATATGTCATCTCACACGGTGGCAATCCGTTTGTCGAACGATGTTTTATTGACACTGCAACGTCTCACCGACAGTGCGTTTCATCGAAAAGGGATCCCGCGTTTGTTTCATCACTTCCGACACTTTCGTCGAAGCACCTTTCCTCACACATCGTCTCGGCCGCCGGCATCCAGATGATAGCCTAGCTTGCCGAACCCGTGGCAGTTCCGATGAGGCTTGGTTCAAGCTGGGCCTGAGATTATATCCCTTTTCTTTTTTTTGAACCGGAGCGGAGTGAAGCGAGAGTGACCACGCGTAACGCGGTCTGTTTGAAAGCCGAGATTAGGGCTCGCAAATTTGTTTTTGCTCTGTCGGAACAGCCCGGGTGGTTCCGCTATATATACTTCCGGTTTGCAGCGAACGAAATGAAGTCAGTTATTCAATCCAATCCACTTAGTAAAAAAATAAATATATATTGCCGACGAAAAGTTGCAGGAGGATGTACGTCCACGAAACGAATTTTCACGAAACATCAGTGTCGACGAAACTTGCGTGTGTCCATGGAACGTGTTACGAAGTGATGTTACCCGCGAAACATGTTTCGATGAAACAGTACGGAAGCCGTATCTGTTAGTCGGTCATTGTTTCACCCACCGTCGGTCGATGGAGGGTCTATGTGTTTCAATTAACCGATACCGTTTCGTCGCCGGTCCTTGTTCGTCGTCCTCCAGGACAACTAACTATAGGCCGCTTGTACCACTCTGCAAGATCGTCCCCGCCGACAAACTCTCAAATTCCCAGGAGGACGAAGTCGTGCGCGACATCATCTTCGTGGCCACAAAGAGAGCCGTGCACGCTAAAATCTTTTTATACCCGTAAGGGCGTAAATCAGCACCTCTCAGGGTTAATCCCAAAGCTGCGGTCCCACTGCATCGTACGAAAGAGTCTACAGTCACTGTCCGAGGCGTTCCTTGTACGATGGCCGTCATATACATCAACCGTCTCCAGACATGTTTGAAGCATGTGTGAAACCAAACATGCTTCAAACATGCTCGAGGAATGCCCGCAGACAATTCTGTCATCATGTCTGCAGCAAACAACGTCTTTTGTACGATGTGCGAGGACCAGTGTGACTGCAGTGTTACAACGATTGTGAGCACTGTGCACCCTACAAATGGAATCCTTGGGAGGCCTTTTACGAGCAGCAAGTGTACGAGCACACTTACACAAATATAAGGCACGTGTAGCATTTGACGGCATTCCGAAAAATAAAAATAAAAAAATCCATTAATTTGGGATGAGTCTTTTTTGGTTTGGGTTTGCTATCGGAGCATAACACAAGTGGTCCTGCTCCCCGTGGCCAAAGCGCGCGCAACTACAGCTTCATTTTCATCGTCAAAACTCTTTACGAGGCTTCTGGGGTTCACCTGCATCGTGTAAAAAAGAGCGTGGCTGAGCACGTTAGTTGCACGCTTTGGTCACGTGGAGCGCAGGGCCGCTGGTGTGGAAAAACGTGAGAGCGCTAGTGGTCAAAACTACCGATAGTACTATCGATAGTATCGATAGTCGCCAGAAATGTGGCTGTCGACAGTAAAAAAACTATCGATAGTAATATCGATAGTCAACTATCGAAAAACTATCGATAGTGGACTATAGAAAAACTATCCAAAGTACTATCAATAGTCGACTGTCGAAAAACTATTGATAAAACTATCGATAGTCGGACTGTCGAAAAGCTATGCATAGCACTATCGATCAATAGTACTATCAATAGTCAACTATCGAAAAACTATCGATAGTACTATCGATAGTGGACTATACAAGAACTATCCATGGGACTATCAATAATCGACTGTCAAAAAACTATCGATAGAACTATCGATAGTCGAATGTCGAAAAGCTATGCATAGCACTATCGATCAATCGTACTATCAATAGTCAACTATCGAAAAACTATCGATAGTACTATTGATAGTGGACTATACAAGAACTATCCATAGGACTATCAATAATCGACTGTCAAAAAACTATCGATAGAACTATCGATAGTCGAATGTCGAAAAGCTATGCATAGCACTATCGATCAATAGTACTTTCAGTAGTCAACTATCAAAAAACTATCGATAGTACTGTCAATAGTCAACTATCGAAAAACTATCGGTAGTATTACCAATAGGGGACTAAAAACTATCCATAGTACTATCAATAGTCGACTGTGTAAAAACTATCGATAGTACTATGGATAACTGACTATCGAAAAGCTATAAAAAACTATCGATGAAACTATCAATAATCGACTATCGAAAAACTATCGATAGAACTATCGATAGTCGACTGTCGAAAAGCTATGCATAGTACTATCGTTCGATACTACTATCGATAGTCAACTATCGAAAAACTATCAATAGTACTATCGATAGTGGACTATACAAGAACTATCCATAGGACTATCAATAATCGACTGTCAAAAAACTATCGATAGAACTATCGATAGTCGAATGTCGAAAAGCTATGCATAGCACTATCGATCAATAGTACTATCAATAGTCAACTATCAAAAAACTATCGATAGTACTGTCAATAGTCAACTATCGAAAAACTATCGATAGCACTATCAATAGTGGACTAAACAAGAACTATCCACAGTACTATCAATAATCGACTGTCGAAAAACTATCGATAGAACTATCGATAGTCGAATGTCGAAAAGCTATGCATAGCACTATCGATCAATCGTACTATCAATAGTCAGCTATCGAAAAACTATCTATAGTACTATCGATAGTGGACTATACAAGAACTATCCATAGGACTATCAATAATCGACTGTCAAAAAACTATCGATAGAACTATCGATAGTCGAATGTCGAAAAGCTATGCATAGCACTATCGGTCAATAGTACTATCAATAGTCAACTATCAAAAAACTATCGATAGTACTGTCAATAGTCAACTATCGAAAAACTATCGATAGTACTATCAATAGTGGACTAAAAACTATCCATAGTACTATCAATAGTCGACTGTGGAAAAACTATCGATAGTACTATGGATAATTGACTATCGAAAAGCTATAAAAAAACTATCGATGAAACTATCAATAATCGACTATCGAAAAACTATCGATAGAACTATCGATAGTCGATTGTCGAAAAGCTATGCATAGTACTATCGTTCGATACTACTATCGATAGTCAACTATCGAAAAACTATTGATAGTACTATCGATAATCGACTATCGAAAGACTCAAAAAACTATCGATAGCACTATCAATAATCGACTATCGAACAACTATCGACAGTACTATCAATAATCGACTATCGATAGAACTATCGATAGTCGACCGTCGAAAAGCTATGCATAGTACTTTCGATCAATAGTACTACCAATAGTCGATTATCGAAAAACTATAGAAAAACTATCGATAGCAGTATCGATAGTCGACTATCGAAACACTATCGATCGTAATATCAATAGTCGACTCTCGAAAAACTATGAATAGTACTATCGATAGTCGACTATCGGAAAATTATCGTTAATCGACTATCGAAAAGCTATCAATAGTCGACTATCGTAAACCTCTCGATGGCACTGTCGACGATTTACTATCGATAGTTTTGCGACACTAGTAGTTTGCGTCGCTCCCTCTTCTTTTTTTTTATCGCTTTAACTTTTTTTCCAAATGGGACACCAACTAGCCCAAGCACTAACCATCCCAACTTTAGTTCAGCTTTCAGTGATGACGAAGTCGGGAGTCGGGAGTTAGTCCGTTGCAACTCCAGAAGGTAGAGCGAGGGTAAGGAAGGCCGGGTAGGAGGAAGCAGATGGAACGCTGAAAAAGAGAGGGGAAACATCCTTCTCTCTTTAGCGTTCCGCCTGCTTCCTCCTCCCCGGCCCGTCTTACCCTCGCCCAATATTCAACTGTGGCGTGAGCATGATAAAACGCTAGAACGCCGCTTTGACGGTCGCGTCTTTTGAGGAGAAATTTTTAGATGGGGCATGAATGCTGCTCTGCAAAGGTTGTGATGATGTCAAAACGTCGGGCTGATTAAAAAAAAAAAAAATAGTGCGTTAATGTAAAAGCTTGGTCTGCTGGGCAAGTTGGTAGTGGACATTCATATTAAAATAGCGCAAAAGAGACGGGACAAAAAGACGAAGAAGCACACAGGACAAACGCTAACTGGCAACTAAACTTTATTGAAAGCTTCCAACTTTGCTATCGCCATGCACGCGCTTAGTCTCGTTCAACA